CGGCCAGACATCACTATCATGGGCCGCCATGAATGGGTACGACACGATAGTCAAGGTACTCCTTGAGACCGGCAAGGTTGAAACCGACTCGAAGGATAATGACGGCCGAACCCCGCTTCTCTGGGCAGCCTCATTTAATAGGGAGGTAGTCGTCAAGATGCTCCTCGACACCGGCAAAGTCGACGTTAACTCGAAGGATGATGAAGGCCAGACGCCGCTATCATGGGCCGCCATGAGTGAAAACAAGACACTCATCAAGATGCTCCTCGACACCGAAAATGTGGATGTCGACTCAAAAGATAATCAAGGCCGAACGCCACTATCGCATGCAGCTTGGTACGGAAAAAAATCCGTCATCAATATGCTCCTCAAGACAGGCAAAGTTGACATCGACTCGAAGGATAATGATGGCCGAACGCCGCTATCATGGGCCGCCAAGAATGGAAAAGAGGCAGTCATCAAGATGCTCCTCGACACTGGCAAGGTTGACATCGACTCGAAGGATAATGACGGCCGAACGCCGTTATCATGGGGCGCCGAGAATGGGAACGAAGCATTCGTCAAGATGCTGCTCGACACCGGCAAGGTTGAGATCGACTCAAAGGATGATTATGGTCGAACACCACTGTTATGGGGCGCTGAGCAGGAAAAAGAAGCAGTCGTCAAGATGCTCCTCGACACTGGCAAGGTTCAAATCAACGCCAAAGACAATTGCGGCCGAACGCCGCTATCATGGGCCGCCATGAGTAGAAACAAAACACTCATCAAGATGCTCCTCGACACCGAAAATGTGGATGTCAATTCAAAAGATAATCAAGGCCGAACGCCACTATCGCATGCAGCTTGGTACGGAAACGAACCTGTCATCAATATGCTCCTCAAGACAGGCAAAGTTGACATCAACTCGAAGGATAATGATGGCCGAACGCCACTATCATGGGCCGCTGAGCATGGAAGCGAAGCAGTCGCCAAGATGCTCCTCGACACTGGCAAGGTTGACATCGACTCGAAGGATAATGACGGTAGAACGCCACTATCATGGGGCATTGAGCATGGAAACGAAACAGTTGTCAAGCTGCTTCTTAGTACAGGTTGCGCTGACATCTACTTACGCGATGATTCCGGCCGAACGCCCTTGTTTTGGGCCGCAATGGCAGGAAATGTAACGCAATGATGTTGCCTGCCAGTGAATGACCAAAGTACCCACCTCAAATGGGCTGCGTAGAGGTCTGACAAGGAGCTTAGGAATATTCTTTGCGAACTAGAGGCCACTTTCACGGCTAGGGGCATGGCGTCTGTTACGAGGAGAGTTAGACTGATTTAAGCTAGAATTAGCCATCATACAGTATGCTAAATGATTTCTTTGGGCTAAAGGAACTGTTTCGTGACATGTGGACGGAGCACGGCAAGAACTGGACCTGGAGGAGCTAAAGGAGAAGGCCATTGCTCATGACAATGCGATACTTGATTTACTCCAGCAAGCTCGCAAGCGCCGTCAAAGACTTTCTGTCACTATGGGATCGGCTGCACAAGGAAAGAAGCGGGCAAGACTGACGTCTGAGCTGGATGAATTTATGGCTAGGACCAATAAGGCAGACCTGGATGTTGAGGACCCTCTGGAGTGGTGGGTTCACCATGCACCTGACTACCCTGTGCTGTCGAAGATGGCGTTTGACTTGTTCAGTTGCCCAGCAATGAGCGCTGAGTATGAGGGTGTCTTTTCACAGACCAAGAAGGTCATTACAGATGAACGGAATCGGCTCAGTTCGGACACTGTAGCAGCGATTGAATGCCAGAAGCACCTGCTTCGAAGCGGAATGGTAGCATAGACCTACGACCAGAGCCGGGCAGGGAATGGAAAATAGCCGAGTAACGTCAACCAAGCAAGCAAAGCAAGCCGCTGCTACCGAGTAAACCAAGTCAAGCAAAGGGTTCGGTCGACCAAGTCAAGTAAAGGGTCCAAATTTTGCTTTACTTGGTTGTTGGACACACTGGGTATGCTCCCCGCAAGGCTTCCATATTGAGCTTTGTGGTCTTCACATCTTCCTTTGACTCGTGCAAATCACGGCCTGAGTTACCAGAGTACACTGTAAGCGGAACGTCATTATGTAGAGTTCCATCTACGTGCTTCGGCGTCGATCGCCAACACCAGTATCCGACAAGAGCTCGTCAAGAGTTGCGAGAAAAAATTCTTCGTGCGATGATAATGTTTAAGACAAACGTTACTATGCAAATCGCCTGCGAGAAAATAATGTTAACGAGACTCTGGCAATTTACGGTATTCACGCTCAACATAATGCCGACTCATAGAGTTCCTCTTTCCTACGATATGTTTTGATGTTTGTCAAACTGTCCAATATAGAGCCTGTTTCGCCATCTTCTTGCCCTTTAGTAAATTATGACTCATATCGGCCTGTGCCGGATGCTTGCTTTGTTAGATGCTCATTGTATTTTAGTCGTAGTAAATGCCTATACCCTACCACAGACCACCCAGCAGCATCAGGTAATGCGGATGACAATGCTTGCCGGCAGTTATAGTGAAACTAAAGCCACAAAAAGCTCGTTCCTTGTAAACTGGCTTCTTCCTACTCGCCCAGGGCGTGGAAGCTTCTTAGCCTACCACGACCACTTGAACCACCCAGGACTACATCAATGTCTTTGCGGCAAGGGCAAGTCAGGTACCCTTGCGATATTCTGCCGTAGGACCTGTGCTGAGCAGGACCCCTGGCCGCTGACTGACTTCGAAAGCCAATCCGGGACCAGCTTCTCCCTCCTTGGAAAGAGGCCCTTCAGTAATGGCATGCTTTAATTCAAGGCCATTTTGTCTTCCAGAGGTTTGAGGAGATCACAGGCTGATCGTACAACGAGGACTGAGGCGAAGCAAAGGCGGTGTGATATTTGCCAAAGACCTTGAGCACGAGGCGGCGGTTTACAAACGTCTGCAGGCGGTCCAAGGTACTCATGTGCCCGTGTTCCTCGTGGCCATCGACCTCCGATTGATGGACAGGACTTATTACTATGACCACCGAGTGTATGTGGTTCACATGAAATTTCTGTCGTGGGGAGGATATGACCTTGAATCAACAGGGATTGTGGGTGGCGGGGGTAAACAGCTCGAAGGGAAGGCGATGCGGTCGTTGCGCGCAATACATCAACAGGGCGTAGTCCACAAGGATGTACGGACGGCAAACATGCTGTTCAATGCGGAGATCAACGGGGTTATGATGATCGACTTTGAAAGAGCGCTGCTGCTGGAGCCACCCCGAGGTCCGTTGGCTCAGCTGGTGCCGAACAAGCGAAGATGGAAGCCAGAGGCGAAAGATTCCAGCAAGTCGGCACAGAAATCAAGCGATCGAGGTCGAGTCAGCAAGGCATACTCCGAGGACATTGGGATGATGAACATAGTATTCGGAGAACTATGTCACAGCCTGCGCACTAATTGTATATAATGTAAGCTACTGTACAGTACACACCAAGGACATTACCGATCACTCTATCTCCTATGTCGAAAAGAGATGGATTCGGCTTATATTAGGCGCTACTTAGAATGCCGCAAAATCCATTTCCAGCTCCCTTCAACCGGCTGAGTTTGGAGCGAGATTATCCCCAACCACCGGACAAAGATCTTGCTTGCTGAGTCATGTCCTCTGTTTGCAAGATCCAAATCTGGCCCTTTTGGAAAGCTATTTCTTACTTTTGGATTCCTGCTTTGGGAGTCGATCTCCCCAGCCACGCGACTAGGATCTTGCTCTGTTTTGTGGAAATGGATGCCGAGACCCAGAGATCCAATTCCACCGTCGCCGCAACGTTGAGACAGGTGCCGGTTCTGGATTTGGTTGGAGGTTGTCCACAGCCAGGCAACCAGGGTCCTCCTTGTCCCACTACCTCCCCTGTCCACACGCTCCATATCTGACTCTTGCCAGGAGCTGGTTCCGGCTGGTCTTCCCAGCCACGCAAGAAGGAGCTTTCTTCCTCTACTGCTTACGGTGACTGCAAGATCCGTATCTGGCTTTCTATTGCTGTATTGGAAAGTCCTGAACATGCTAGAAGCCTGTTTGGGCTCCCAAGATCCCAAGATGGGTCATCCAAGCCATACAGCAAGCACCTTGCTGTGCCGTGTATGAATGGCTCCCGCAAAAACCGTTTCCGGCTCCTGTTGATGTATTGGAAAGCCATGGCCTGGAAAGCCAGCTTAGTGCTCCTGCGGCTGTGACGCGGAAGCCGGTTCTGTCCTTTGGTTGAGAGTCTTCCCAGCCATGTAACAAGGAGCTTTCTTGCTCTACCACGTGTTCTATCTACACAATACATGTCCAGCTTCTGCAGGAGCAGGTTCTGACCTTTCATGGAAGGCGTTTTAGACCATCTAATAACGACTCCAACTGCTCTACTACGTCCTCGTCTGCAGGATCCATTACTGATTCATTCTGCGGTTTCCAAGGCTGGAAGCCCTGAAATCAACTTCGACGCGGGGGCAACTACATGCTACTAAGAGCCTCTTCTGGCTTTTCGGAGTAGGCACCCTCAACCAGCAACAGCAAGCTTGCTTGCACCAGCACATCGCCCGTCCGCAAAAACGATACCAGACTACTTCTAGGAGCCGGCTCCGACTCTCGGGGGCAAGGCCATCCCGGCCAGCATCTCGCTTGCTTACCTAGATCCCCTGTCTTGAGCATCCGTATCTGGCTCTTACCAGAAGCCAGTTTTGGCCCGTGGTCCTAGCCACACACCAAGGATCTTACCGACCACCCCATTTCCCATGTCGACAAAGTTGGATTTGGCTTTTGTTATGCGCTATTCACAAAACATCCAACAATGGCTCCCGCTACAGCTCTCAATATGGGTTACGCGCTGGGAGTACATAAGCCACCTCTGCTGCTCTCTAGCGATCCATCTTATTTGCATCCTTTTTCATCCGCTTTCCGACGAACATCCGCGGCGGAACACTCAACTTTTTGTGCCGGCGAATTTCCCTACCCAACACATCTTGTACCTCCATCAATATGCTAACTCGCCAGCGTCGTCATACGAACGCCTACGACCCCGACGATTCCTTCTCGCCTAGCGATGACGATAGCAGCAAGGGTACCTTCAAATCCAACGACAATGTCTTTGATGTGGACGAAGATGAAGACGGCTCGGACACCGACGTTACGGACCTTGAAGACCTCGAGGAGAATGCCCAACCTGACGTCGACGACCAGATCAAGCTGTTTGGCGGGAATCTCCACCCGCCTGAGTACTGGCGGAAGGCGGTGGAGGAAATGAACGAAAGCGATTTCGAATGTCAAGATTACAGTCCTTCGACAACGGCACTACTAGATAACGTTGAGGAACAGTGGCTCTTGTAAGGATGACTTGGGTTTGCCCTTGACATTGCTCTGGCTAACGCTCTGAACCTTAGATATTGCGAAGTCCTCGGCCCTGACCCCCGACATTGCTACGAGACGCTGTCGATAAAACTCCTCTATAACCTTTTTGATTGGTACCTCAGTCAGAAAGTTGGCAAAGACGGGAGGAAGAGGAGCGGTATCAAGAAGAAAAGCTCTTTGGAGACATACTGAAAGATTTTTAGGCTTGTGTTTGAGAGGGCTATGGGCGAGAGGATAGCCTCTAAACTGGGTCGCAGCATGCGCAAGGTATGTATGCGTTTTGAGTCGACACAATCCTTTTGCTGACGGGATCAGGCTGTTGGAAGGCTGGCCAAGAAGCACGGCCTGACCGACCAGGCGCGGGCCAACCGTATTATGACAATCGACCAGCTGAAGCAGCACATTGAAGAAACGCTAAGCACAACACGAAAGATGTTCGGGCTGGGAGAAGTACGCATTCTTGCTGTACTCTTTGTCCTGTTGGTTGCTCCGGCCGGCGCTCGCCGCAGAGCTATCACGAGGCTTCGTTTCAGGGATATACGCGTCGTTCTAGCGAGGGATCCAGAAGGCGGACCGCATAAGCTTCTCATTCGGTTCACTCCGAAGTTCACGAAGGAGTACCTTGGTGCTAAAGCTCAGTATGGACCTAGTGCTAGTGCTATGGAAGTGTCAAGAGCTCACACGTCTCCAGGAACACCTATCCAATCCCCGAAACTATGTTTGATCCTTCCTTACTTCTCAGCCCACACGTGTTTCTTCTGGGTATCCGTCACCAGACATTCCGTGCAACCAGCCTCACCACACCGGATCAGCTGAAAAAGCTTGATATTTGCCCTGGTGAGCTCGAGTTGCCTTTACCGTTACGGGAGGATCTAGACGACACGTACATTCTCCGTCGGGCTGTCCTGACAACTACAGGCTATGTCCTATCCAACGACCCCATTTCCGAGGCCATGATGGGGGCCTGGTTCAAGAGAATCGGAGAGCTTCTTGGGTTGGAATACTCTACCATACTTTACAGCTTGCGCTACAACGCAGCGAACGGATTTGATCAAAGCGGTTTGCGTTCTACCACCCTCCCTTCAGTGAATAATGCTGACCCCTGGCCATAGCCGATGTCAGCGAGGCACTCCGAAACCTTGTCTTGGGTCACGCCAGCTCCGAACCGTTTCGACATCACTATCTCGGACGTGAAATTGGCGCCGACCTTTGGGGCATCCGCCGTGGCCAAAAGCCGCAACAGGCGCTGATCAAGCAGTCTGACAGTGTTGGCCACTCCATCAGCAAGCGTCGGCTGACTGATCTCACGCAGGAACAGTCTGCCTCCATCGCCACTCATCCTACAATCCGAAGATTGACGATGGCCCTTTGACGACTACCTCCAGGCTCTAAAGCGTATAAGGATGCTAGGAAGGAGATAAACAACGAAAAGCAGAGACTTATAAGAGAGCTCAAGCAGAGTATTATACACGAATGGACTGACAACCAGGCCGTTGACGACATTGACCGCCAGTTACGAGGCGATGGTTTCACCCAGCCTGCGGCGGCGGACATCTGCCGTCCACAGCGACCGGCACAAAAGCGCTTACTCGCAGCGCTCACTGCTCCGCTCATCGCCACACTCGAAGACCAATACCGACGGAAAGACAACGCCATCGACGCAGTATCCGCATACTGTCTTGTCCAGGAAGCATGTACCATGCGCCGGCCTCGGCCTCTGTCGAAGGACTCGCTCTCTACGACGCCTTTCAGTGGCTCGGAAGAAAGCCCCCTTTCTCTTGCCACGCTATCTATTTATGCCAGAAATAAGACAGAGAGGCCAACAAGATGCTTTGTATGCATTGGACAAGCCCGCAGCCTCCCTCCGGATGATACCCGAGTGGATGATCTCATCCAAGAGTTCTACTCTTCCAACGACCTGACCAAGCACTTTAGACGTAAGCACTTGTCTAAGATAAAGGACGACGACAAGATAGAGTGTAAGGTTTGTGAGATGCCGCTTGACCACAAGATGCATTTTCAAAACCACGCCTTTAGGATCCACGGCACTGTTTCCTGAGCATTCGTATCTCGTTATAAATATAGCAAGCCCATTTTGGTAAGGAAAACTCAAGACGACTCCGTGACCCGCAGCCACGAGCATAAGCCAAGGTGAAATCCAAAACCGCCGCCCTGAAGTCAACTCGAAGCCAAGCCGGAAGGTCATATCTGTTACGAGCAGGTCAGGGCAACCAACTGCACCACAAAGCAAAAGCTTCGGTAATGATGCGCCTGCATCATTATCCCCTGTTCTGCACTATATAGTTACGCCGGCCAGCACCCCAACTGGTTGGGCCGTAACAACCCAGATACTCCTTGTCTCAATTCACTCTTGTGTGTATCTTGACGTGTGAATAGGGGCGTTATCTTATTGAAAGACTTGCCCGGCTTCACAAAAGCCTAGGAGTCCCTCCTCTAGAGCAGCGCAATAGCTCTTTGAAGAGTACCCGTTCCTCTTGGCGTCACTGTCTCCCTCTAGAAACACTTGAGGGCTCAGTCGGGTCATCCCTGCCCAGACCATAACGCTAAGGTCCTTGCCATGACCTATAGGGTTGACGTTCTCTTTGCGAAACTTCAAATGGCTATATTGCCATATCCAGACAGGTCCGTTAGGAGAGCTCTGGATAGAGCACTCATCGCTCATAATCCCTCTCACAAGGATATTCTCTTTTCCACGCCACTCACGGCAAAACCGCATTCTCTCTGGCACTGGCGAATACTTAATACATTCACTCACATGAACTCAAAGCATCTTCGCATGTCTGCCCGACTGCATGGGTAAGGTGTGGTATCAGGTTGACGACCTACGGAATTTGTCGGCCGACAGATATGAAAAAATACTGGAGAATAGATTTCTCGTTGATAAATTTCTGGCGTCGCTTCATGATATCTATTCACTTACACCACCCTCCGTCAGACGACTTCGTGACACTGCGATTAGATTCGCCAGAAAGCATATGGAAATGATAATCAAGACAAGGAAAGAAGAATTTGACGTCATGACCTTGAGTTTGGCGGACTTTGCGAAGGATTTGTTAAGTTCCTACTTGGAAGCTCCCGTCCTGGGCAACTGTGGTCATTGCGGAAATTGCAAGGAAATGGAGTGTTTGCAACTTCGATGCTTGCAGTGTGGGAAGGGCGGCGGTATTATGATACGACCCAACCAGTAGGGTATTGGTCGGTGTAGCTATACAATGCAGAACAGGAGATGAATGATTCACCTGCATTCTTACCGAAGCTTTGGCTTTGTGGTGCAGTCGGTTGCCCTGACCTGCTCGTGACAATTGGGCTCGATCTTTCGCTAATAACGATTAGTTCTTTCTACGTAGGTCAACCAGTTCACCTGAAAAGACAATGCTGTTGTACTCTTCTTGAAGATTCTTGACAAGGGCCTTCGGAGAAGGCCAGGATGTTATCCGGAGCCGGCGCCGGCCAGCCGGAGATACTGCTGCAAAACGGCTGCCAGGAAAGTCTTCAGCACCGACGTCCGGAAGAATCCACTATCTCTCATAGATTTTTCTGCGTACCTACGGGCAAAGATATCAAGCCTTCAGATGAACGAGGTTCAGCCAGATTATGAGGTTGAGAGGGAGAAGATGGAAGCTTGAAAATTCACCGTCAGACACAGGAATAAAGCCACGGGAACGAGCAGCCTGGAATCCTAATGAAGCCTTTTCAATTCAATGCGAACAGGTCGTTGTTTTGCCGCTGGCATCTCACGCAGCCTGTTCGCTGCACATAGCGAGTGTGTGATCTGACACTGCGATGGTATACGTGCGTGCAGTATGGTGATTGGCTCACTTGAGAGGCGAAGTACTATTTGTAGCCTGGATGTGCCTCTGTGCCAATGTGGCGCTATGAACCTCGCCATCAAGCCACGTCCCAACGGGCGAATGAAGATGATACCAGTAGAGGTACAACCAGCCGACTGCATCGTTAGGAGTGGGTCGAGGGCCTCGTCATATGCAGTGATGGCGTGAGCTTTTGCGATGTTGCTGCCTGTATCACAGGTTAAGTACACTCTACGCGCATTTCCCGGAGGGGCAGGTACCCTGTACGTCAAGTTGCACCGCCTGTCGAGAATCAATAAGCCAACCAAGCCGTCTCTAGAGACCCTCTTTCTTGCAAGCGCTGGTGACAATGCGCAGTGCATATCATCGCCGCATTCGACCGCGAACTGATGGGCAAACGCTTCTCGCATCTATTGGATAGGTTCTGCTCTCTGACTGATAAGAAGCGGGGAACCGGATGAGAAACCCGCCTGACGATTAGATGCACTACTGTACATTGGAAGGTTGCTGATATTATTTACCTCCCACCACACTTTCTAGTAAGTTTGGACCTCTCAGCTGAACCGTCATACTGTAATCATCCCTTTTGAAATAATGTGCTACTACTTCGAGACCAAAATAATTTACAGAGGTTGTACGAAGGACCCAAAGCACCGCCAGTCCGCCGCCGGCAACGCCACTCCCTTTCCATTGCGTGTTGTAACGCCTGCCTTTTCGTTCGTTGTTTCGCTTGGTGCTGCTCGCGTCACAGCTCGGGTAATTCTCTTCAGCTCCTGCGTAGTGTCTTCCGTTTGTCGAGTCGTGACACGGGTTTTGACGGTCGCCTTCGTTGCTCGAATCGGGTGTTTTGGCGTCGAAAAAGGGGGGTCCGGCTCCGCTACAATATCCGCCTCCGTTGGATCCGCCATGATGGGAGTCTAAGACACCAACTTTCGTAGATTGCCGACCTTCAACGTCTCTTCTCTATCGAACAGGAGACCGATGGGTCTAGAGAGAGTATGGATTGTTGCCGAGTGCAGTACAGTAGAAACCAAAATTCTAGAAGACATTACAGCATCAATCAAATTGGTAGTAATAGTCTCCCTCCTATACACTAGCCCAATTTATGTGTCACGAAGTTCAGTTTCTCACCAGTGAACTCAATGGGCCTCTTCCCGTAGACCAATCTATTCCTGACATCACCAAACAAGAGAAGCAACTAGCATGGCGCGTAGATGAGACTGGTCGATATCTAGGGAGGAACGACTGTTGAAAAGGATTTGCCATGTGAAGAAAGTCATCATGGTGTTGGGAGTTTTGTACTGCTTCAGAGAAACTCCACAAGCGGGATCAACATCAATTGCAAACACGATTCGTCTGCCGGTAGGTTGCACCGTTGCACTCAAACCTTCACTACGCAACATTGACCTCCAACTTCACCGCCAGTTCTTCTTTCCCCATAATCCAGCGGCGATCTCCTCACCGGAAGCGGGTATGTGGCCTCCTTCGGTAATTTAGCTCTGAGGTGGTACTGTGTGATTCGACTTACCAGATCAGCCCTAGATTTGGGGAAATGGCGCTCATTTGAAGACGTGTACTCATAGTGCCTGTGCTTGTAGCGGACTTGGATGTACAGGTCGGCCCCGTACCGCCGTCTTATCTGCTCACAACGCCACATGATGTTTTTGATCGCTTTGTCGCAATTTTCGTTGGTTCTATCTCTTCTGTTCGGTGGATGCTGTTGAAGAGTCATGTTGACTTGTTACTTGTTGACTTGATAAAGCGTTGTGTCGAGTTTTGTGAACAAAAGTAGACTAGGTACATAGTATGCTGTGTTATGTATGAGGGTTGGCGTTTGACAACCGAATTTGATTTTAAGCTTTTTGCCGTTCTCTTTCCCCTACATTCGTTTTAAAGTAGGCATGCCGTACATATGTATGACGCATAAGATGGAAGTAGAGCCGCATCCGGATCTGGTTTCTGATTGTCTACTTCGAGAGGTTGTTCTTGCAGCTGTTTGTGGACAATTCTGGTGTTGGAAGTCACATGGGACATGCAAACTGCTGCTTGTTGCGTGATTCACGATACCTTTGTGTTTTTGAAAGCAGCAATCGGCTTGCTTTACAATTTCTGGCAAGAAGGGGTAGGGATGTGTCAATAACCTACGGTCAGGGGAAAGGTACTCTAGATGTATGTGTACTATGTACATCACGAGCCTGCTGAATGAGACGATGTGCATTTGAGGAGCCAGAAAGAAAGCCGTCTCATGGATGCGAGGTTGCCCAAAGCAGGCATTTTTCTTTTCAACACAGTCATCCCCGGCATTTTCATTGTCTAATACTGTCAAAGTCCACCTGTCGGCGAACATAGGTTTCTTGCGAAAACGTCTACGTCTTCTTTTACAGATTCGCCGCACAAACTGTCGGCCAAGTGCTCACTTTTGCATCACTTGTTACTAGAGTATATAATCACGTGAATTTGATAATAGGAAGGCATCGTGATAGAAACCAAGAACGCTCTCATATGGTAGGGGAGTCTGGTCTCGGGATACCGTCCTCGGCAGACGACGTGATGGGGTCACTCGTATTCCAATTAAAACAATGTGTGATTATGTCGCCGTCGCTGCTGGTTGTCCTCAGGTGTAGCGTCCGCGTTGTGGAGGCTTTCCCATAAACGTGGGCCACTCTGGATGACGGCTTTGCGCCACTCTTCTTGGCTGTGACATCGGGTCTAACCGCTGCGGCCGCCGAGCAGGCGGCCTTGATTTCAGTCGTCAAATGTTGAGGCGCTAGGCTGTTCGTGGAGCTCGTTTCCTGCAGGCGAGGCCCTCGTGCTGACGACTTCTCCTGCTTGACGCTACCGCTTTCTTCGTCAGAGTCAGAGAGGAGGAAGGTAGCTACAAGGTTCTGTGGAAGCCTCAGCTGAGGTGAATTCTCGTTCGCTGGGACGAGCCGCGAAGGGGAGAATACTGAGTGAAGCTTTGAGCTCATGATGCTTCTGGGCAGTTTGAACGTGACCCCATGATCATTGCGCCATGTTTGAGGGCCATTCAGTCCTGAGTACGCATCGCTTCCCCTACAAACAGACGCGCCAAGTGTGTGGACCTGCTTCACATGGTGTTACCGCCGAAAGAAGCTACTCCGTAACCTCTGCTTGTGGAGCTTGATGAAGCTCCAGCTGGCGAGTAGAGCCGGAAATGGAGATTTGACGTGCAGCCATACAGTTTGTCTGCTCGCTAGTGCTGTCGTCAAGCGCTATGACTCAGCCCATGGTGGAAGCCAGCGGGCACTGCCACAACTGGAGGAATGGGGAGCGAAAAAGGCGACTCTCTCGCTTCATTGCTGCTCGCCATGTGCACAATCGCTGTCAAAATGGATTTTCAGGGCCTGAACTAGAGTAACGAAGGCTAGGAGTCGGAATAGGTTCCAGCGGACAGAATACACGGCGACGTAAGGTGCTTGCTGTATGGCTGGGGATAGTGACTCCTAAAAAAAAAAACCGGCTCTCGAGATGGAATTGCAGCAGCGTCGAAAGTCGATTTGTGGGTCACGGATTTCCAAGGTGACAACTGGGATCTGGAGATGGATTCTGCAGGCGGGGACGTAGCAGAGCAGTTAGAGTCGTTGTCGGCTGGTGGAGAACGCCTTCCATGAAAGGCTAGAACCTGCTTTTGCAGGGGCTGCATATGGATTGTGCAGATAGAACAAGTGGTAGAGCAAGAAAGCTGGTTGTTACATGGTTGGGAAGACTCCCGACCAAAAGCCAGAAATGACTTCCGCGTCATAGTCGCAGGGGCACTAAACTGGCTTTCCAGGTCATGGCTTTCCATTATGTTAATAGGAGCCGGAAATGGGTCTTTGCGGGGACCATACACGGCACAGCAAGGTGCTCACTGTGTAGCTTGGATGACTCATCTTAGGATCTTGGGAGCCCAAACAGGCTCCCAGCATGTTCCGGACTTTCCACTACAGCAATTGAAAGCCAGATATGGATCTTGCAGTCACCGTAAGTAGTAGAGGAAGAAAGCTCCTTGATGCGTGGCTGGAAAGACCAGCCGGAACCAGCTCCTGGCAAGAGTCAGATATGGAGCGTGTAGACAGGGGAGGTAGTAGGAGGACGACCTTTGTCGCATGGCTGGGGACATGGCTGGGACATCCTTCCCCAAAGGCCAGAACCGGCACCTGCTTCATCGTTGCGGCGACATCGGAACTGGATCTCTAGGTCTCTACATCCATTTCTACACAACTGGGCAAGAGTCTGGTCGCGTGGCTGGGCAGATTGTCTCCCAAAGCTCCCAAAGCAGGAATAAAAAAGTGACAAATGGCCTTCCAAAAGAACCAGATTTGGATCTTGCGGACAGGGGACAGGACTCAGCAATCAAGACCCTTGTCCGGTGGTTGGGGATAATCTCGCTCCAAACTCGGCCGGTTGAAGGGAGCTGGAAATGGATTTTGCGGACATCCTGAATAGCGCCCAACAAGAGCCAAATCCAACTTTTCCGATATTGGAAATGGGGTGGTTGGTAAGGTCCTTTGTGTGTGGCTAGGAGGACGGGCCAAAACCGGCTTCCGGTAAGAGCCAGATACGGATGCTGAAGACAGGGGATCTAGGTAATCAAGCGAGATGCTGGCTGGGAGGGCCTTGCCCCAGTCGCCAGAAGCGACCACCAACAACGTTGTTACAGCGGCAATCAATGCCAACTTCTGGATCTCGACTCTCCAGTACAGTGGATGGAGCCAGAAACGGATCGTAAGAATAGGGCACCATATCGGGACGAGCAGCATCCTTCTTACAGGGTTGAGAATTCCTACCCCCGAGAGTCGAAACCGGCTCCTAGAGGGAGCCTGGTATAGGTTTTGTGGACGGGCGATGTGCTGGTGCACGCAAGATTCCTGTTGCTGGTTTGGGGTGCCTAGTCCCAAAAGCCAGAAGAGGCTTGTAGTAGCATGTAACTGCTGTGGCTGTTGGAATCACAGGGGATTGAATATACCGTATACGGTAACGTGGGTGACGAAGGGGATAACACTGTTGTTGTCATTATCCTTATTCTGCGTGAAGAGGGGAGGACGCTATCTAGGGACTGGTGGCCGAGGTGAGGTTGATGGGTTGAGGTCCTCCCTTTCGGCCGTAGCTATCCCGGGCCCGAATCGGCCCGACCGGCCGAACCGCGCTGGATAACTGATATCCAGCGATATCCTATTCCGACAGTGGCGTCAAAAGTTGTTTAAAGCCGATATCGCGTTTTGTCAACGATGTATGAACAGTACCTGTGTCATGTGCAAGGGCGCCGAGCATAAGGACCAAGACTGTGCCCAGGACATCTTGACTCAGGACCTACTCCAGATTGCCGCGGCAAACGGCTGGCAGCGATGCTTCTCTTGCCGAAGAATCGTAGAGCTAGAGCACGGATGCAATCACATAAGTAAGTCACATCACCCAGCATCTCTTGGTACACAAGGTAAGCTTACATTACTACATAGCCTGCCGGTGCAGAGCGCAGTTCTGCTACTTATGTGGCGACCGATGGAAGACTTGCGCCTGCCCGCCGTGGAACGAGAAGCGACTCTACGCTTGCGCTAATTCCACTATGAATCGAGATGCCAACACTCCTGTTATGAATCACGAGGGGAGGGTTCGAAGGGCAGGAAGAGAGGCGCACAGGCTGATCATCGACAGCCAGAACACGCACGATATACCGAGAAGCCACGGTGGCCCCTCGCACTGTAGAGAGTGCCACGACACGATGCCTCTATACATTAACGAATGCCCTAGATGCCATATTCGGTCTTGTCAGCGTCGTCAGTTCAATCAACTTTGAGCTACTCCGGTGGTTTTTGGTGTATCTGTGCTTTGAACATTTGATAGTCATATCGACGAAAGGCCAGTCGGATGCGCATATTCCAAGAAGATGTACATGACACGCAACGCAATGCTTCGGATCAGTAGTTAGACAAGCTGTAGTGCAGTAAACACAAAGACGTACGCTGTTGTTGTGGGCTTCGGAACTAAATCAGAATATGCTTACGTCACCTGTGGGCCTCAAAGCAAAGTTTCGGTAATAATACCGCGTGGCTTATAACACATATAAAGCTATTGTGATAGCATAGGAAGCAGATACAATCAGTTGAGTCGCCGAACTCGACATCCTCATCGACAGGTGTTCTTTCATCTGATACGTCGGTTCATTGGCGCAGACTTGGACGGGGTGAAACCTAACTATTGCCAACCAACGTCGGACTTGCCTTTCTGGTGGTAGTACATAACAAGATCATAAGTAAGCGAGCCTAGTTTTCTAAGCAGTACTTTAACTTGTTCCCGGTCCAGCAGCTCTTTGTGTTCAGCAAAGACCTTCAGGACAATGTCCCGCAAACCCCTATCGCTGTCTAGTGTGGAGGTATATGCTTCGTCAATAGCATCAAGGAAGTCATCGGTATCCCAGGATCGTTGAGCAGTCGTCTCGAACTTGGTGCGAGCGAGACTCTTGAGATCATCAATAGCATACTTCTCGGCAATTGCATATGCTTTGGCGTGAAGGAGAATGTCAGAGATATCTCCCGCATTTGAGTGCTCTTCGGTTGTTTGACAAAGATCATCGTGACTAGGGTCAGAGTTTGAGTCCGGCATCACTTTGCAATAGTTGAGATTGTAAAAATACTGGATCATCATGTCGACAGCACGAGGATCATCGTCAGGAAGAGAGATAACGCCGTCGGTTGACTCCTGTTTGGTAATTCTGTCTTTAGTTTCTGTAATACAATATATTTGACCGACAGAGCGGGGTTTAGAGATGGGATGAGGACCTCAAAAGCATTACGGCATGCGGCAGCGAAGAACCCGCAGCGGAGACAGATGATAGCGCGATGGACGGAAAATCTTTAGGCGGAAGAGGATATAATGAGATCTGAGTAGATTCCAGTGAAGTATAGGCTAGCATAGCGTTAAGGCGAGAGTAAATGAGTCAAAGTACGGGAGGCTCACGTCTTAAGAGATTCAAGGAGAGCTTTTTGTGACCGTTTTAAAGACTTCATGGTGGGTTGATCTGGGACGGGGGTCGGTATAGGAACGCGGATTTGGCTGTTGTGGCTGAAGAGTTCGTAGGCAGCCTAGAGAAAGCTAGGAACAAGAGCCAGCTGGTAGAAATATCACAGGGCAGGTCCTGAAATATACTGTCAGGTTGAATATCGTCGAGCACTACGGCGGTTTCTTAGATCCTGATGCAGTTGCGCATAGTCGCTGCTGCAATGTAACTCTAGCTTCGTGGCGGGGCGGATGGTATGCTGGCAAACATTCGAGTTATAAACACTTGGGTAGTATCCTAGTGGGTGTGAATCAGTGACGTTCCGCGGCGAAGGCCGCGCCTTGTGCGGGGCCACATGCGAGGCCGCAAGAATAACCAGGCGGTGAGGAACCAGTGCGTCCTGCCCAGATGAGCTGTGGCAGATCAGCTGGCTCGAGGAGACGAGCCCGCAGTGCAGCTTGGCCTGCGACGTCACCCTTATAGCCGCTGTCCAAAACAATTGATCATCCAAGTTGCCTTGGATAGGGACACGGAGGAGCACAGCGATAAGCTGTATTCTTTTTTAGGGCGGGGTCATCACCAAAGTGGGTACATGCCGGAACACGTGCGGGGGAGCAAAGTCAAAGGAGCGGTTTGTTGGCAGGTCTCCGTCCGAAGCAGTTGGTCCGCCTCGAGAACTGGGGTATTGCCGTGGGCTTCAACGATGGAAACCATGCAACCAACATCACCCGGCCCTTGAAAAAGAGGAGATTCGCAGGGCAACCGTCGATATCTTCCATCTTGTTAAAGACATCTTCAGTACCGCGGACGCGCGCATGTAACGGTCGCTCCGCTCCACGCCGGGAGACACGGGCTCAGGCTCAGAGCATCTACTCAAGCTTCTGGGAATGCTAGGCGAATTGAGGGGCGCAAAAGTGGTCTGGGCCACGGAAGTCAGATTCAAACGCACAAAGTAGGTATAACTACAGTATTGAAAAACCAAGTGAACATCGCCTTGTACGACTTAGTACCGTCAAACCCTGCGCAGGTTACGTGGGTGTTACTCCCTATGGTCACGTGAGTCAACACGCTCGGACCAGGGGCAGGTATTGAGATGGATCTTGAGGATGTCACGTCCATCATTATTACTGAGCAGACAGAATCGTATCAACTACATTCTCAGCTTGAAGATACGGGGAGCCTTTGCCACTTGGTCCGAAACGTCTCTTCGCGACCAGGGTTAGCCAAATGCGGCGAGACCTGCACGCGTGGCTATGCAGCCCCGATGAGCGGTACGATGACTCCGTCAGGGCTCATCATAAAGCAATCAAATCAAATTTGAGGCTGAAATTGATTTGTTTGATGAGCCTCGGACACAAAGTTGATTAACTTGATTTGATTGCTTCCTCTCAATCAACTGTATGGCCGGCGTACATACCTACTATTCGAACCTACTTCGCACGCCTCCATCTCTCAATTACCCACCCAACCCCCCAGCTTTACCCCGCCGTGTCGGACCCAGTTCCTCAGGCAATGAACTCGCTCCAGAGTATCTGCGCCCATTGAGAGCCTTTGAGATGTCAGCGTCAGCTTGGCCAGGCTGAACTGTCTCTCGCAGTCAGTTGCCATCGCCGGAATGGCAAACACATCCAACGCAAACCTGCTTAGGACCGGGAATATCGTCTTGTGGTCTCTCCACCATTCGATCTCCGCACGCCCGCGTTGTTCGTCTTATCCACAAATTAGACGTGCATTTCACACGATTGACACAATTGTCGTTCACGCCATACCCATGTTGGCTGTTCGCTTGGGCGGGAAAAGGTGACCGCTGCATCTTGGGGGGACGCGTACACTGACCGGCGGTCTTTTTGTTCACCACTGTTGGTGTGTGCTGCACATCTGTTTAGACAAATGTGCCAATCGCTTGCCCAAGGCCCGCCATGCATACATCTGCAGTTCTGACCAGGCTGCGCCTAGACCAAGCAAAATGTAGCCCTTCTTCAGTGACCAAGCAGCACCTCAAGCCATCTCTTTGGATGACGAGGCTCCAAATGGAACATAGACCTCACTGGGCTTACACATACCGCTAGTAGCCGCCCGCGGTCTCTGTTCTTGTCTATGCTGCCCAACGTACAAAAGCCGGCACCGCCCCGTCTGATTGCACGGTCAGCCTAATCCCTTTCATCTACCTGGCACCTAGTATCCCTTCTTTGATTTTGAAATCACCACGAACAAAATGGCAGCTACTGTCCCCAAGAAGCCAGTCGACGGGGTTAAGTGCCCGAAGCAAGGATGCGCATTTAACAATATTTCCGGCAGGGAAACTTGTGAAAAGTGCGGCACCTCGCTTTCTCAAGTTGTTTAAGATCTCCATACGGGTCAGTCACCTTGTTGTCTATTGTCTGTCTGGTCGGCGATTCTGACTACTTCTTAGTTCCACCTTTTGGCCGCCTCAGCCAGTTTCCTATGTATCACAACTGTCTTTTACCACTTGACCATACCATCCACGCACCTGCGACATCGTTGAATCCTTCTTTTCCCAGCTGCTGCTGGATTCTTCGTCTCCAATCATTCTTCGAGTCATCGTCTCGGCCAGGGAGGTTCAGGCCCATGGAGACGCGGAATTTAGTCCTTATCCACTCCTTAGGAACATAGCCGGCCGTTTCCCAATCAATGATCCCAATTGATCCGTTTGTGCGATCACGAATGACGTTTCCCGGGCCCATATCACAGTGGAAGAAGCTGAATGAAGAGCAATCCATCCCCAGTTCCTTGCAGTTTTTCAGAAGAGCCTCAGGACTCATGTCCGGCTCTTTACCAGATGCCAGGCGTTCTTCTGAAAGATGAAGCCCATCAACGCCGCAGATGGCATCACCCTTCCATGAAGCCAACTCTTTGCAAACGCTGACCATCTGACTAACGCAAACGTCTCTCGCTTCCTCATCCATTGACCACCACGCTTCCGCCATGATTTCTCCTTCCATTCGGCTCTGGATGATGAAATACCGTCCATGATGCTCTTCGTGATAAATCACAGATGGCACCTTGAATGCTGTAGGTCGTTTTTCCTGAACGAAGCGTAAAGTGGTGTGCTCTAGTGTGCAGCCGGTGTATTCCACAGCCTTCACCTTACAGTACGCCTCGCCGATTCTCCAGACTGCTGATTTTTCCCCGACATTATGGATGAGTTGAATGACAAATTTGTCGTCAATTGGCCGAGTCTGGGGCGGAGGGGAGCTCATTTGAGAAATGGTGAAGAAGAGGCCATTGCTATCGCTCCAAGAGGCCGGCGAAGGTGAGGCTTGGCGGGACAGTAGAAGAGTATCGCCAATGACCCAAGTGTTTTCGTTGACTTCCCGAATGGAATCTGTGATGGCGCTGGATGACATGGTGGCAGTTTGTGACTGAAATCAGAGACACCGTACATTTTCTGTTCAGAGGGGAAAGCTTTCTTATCTATGCCGTTCGAGTAACACGTGACTTTGTTAGGCTCACTGCCAGACTCCCTTGTAATACTTGCCTATCAGTAGCACATATTGTCTCCCACGGCGCGGATGGCAGACAACGTTCACATCTGCCTCGATAACCTCGCAGTCGCAGCCAGACTCGTCACCCGGAGCCCAGGAAGCAGCCAGGCTAGGTTTAGGGCTTTTAGTGAGCTCTCCACCTCTTGGGCACAGAGAGGACGGACAAGCTGGACGATGCCTGGCAGGGTATACATTTGGTGGTGCCCTGGACACACGGGAATAGCAGGAAACGAGGAAGCAGACGCTCTTGCCAAGGAGGCCTGCAAACAAATCCCAGAATCACAGCCACAGCCTACATTGGCTCACTTGAAGCGGGAGTCCAGAGCAGCCGACCTCCAGGCTTTCGCTAGGAGATGGCCGTCAATCTGCCCTCGGCAGTATGCCGACCTTGGGATAAGTCCTCATCCCAAGCCCCCCGAACTTCGCCTTCCTCGGCATTTGCTAGGAAGGCTATATGCGGCAAGATCGCATCATGGAGACTTTGCAGCGTACCACGAGAGATTTGCCCACCAAGAAGCACTGCTTCACTGCAGTTGCGGAAGGCGCAAAACCCCAGTACACTTCTACTTCTGCAAGCGCGGCCGTAAAGCTACCTCGCGGCATCTCCGCCGACGTATGGCGAAGGCAAGCATAGATTTTCTGCTAGGTACTACGCAGGGAGCCTCTCTTCTGTGCGAATGGATGGAGGCGACCAATTTCTTTTCCGAAATCTGCCCGAATCATTGAACAGGAACGTTAGGTGAAGACGGCAGCCTGTAAAATAGTTTAGATTAGGATAGACCATGTCGGCATCGCCCGGCACGTCCCTTTTTACTCAGGACGTTAAATTCATCATCATCATCATCAGTAGCACATAGTCCAAAAAGAACTTCCCCTCACAGGGTATCCACTGTTAGTAGCTGTTAAGACCATAGAGGGCTCCGGCCCATCGCACTATTATTTCTTATCATCAACCCACGCGAGCTGAATCCCACTATCATGGCCGTCTCTCTAGACGCAGGGCCATCGATCACAGTTCACGGGGACGCCAGTACATCTCGACGGTCTGGACGTGTCCGGAAACGACCGCAAAGGTCAGAGTGGTTGAGCAAGTCAGCTGTCAGGACAATGCTGAGCTTAAAGATGAGATCAACAAGCTCTCAAATCTCGTCCAGGACCTCCTACGACGGGACGCCGAGAGGGAATAATTCCTAAAAAACTGCTTGAAGAAGATCGAATCCTTGGAAAGAGAGCTTCAGGAGGAGAAACATCGTTCAGTCCGGCCAGACTTGCCTATCCTGATATGCTATCCTGATATCATCTCTGCTATCCTGCTATATCCGATATGATATATATCGGATATCGGATAAAGCTAGTCTTACTTAGCCTGATATCAGGATAGATATCAGGATAAACTGTCGGCTGTGATTGGCCATATTCCATATTACCTGTTGATAAGATCCGATCTTTCCGTGTCTGCACTCTTCCAATCTTTCAAACTTTACCGCCTGCTTCAAGTGCGTAGAAAGTAAATGTTCTCTTATTCCAGCCTCTACTGTCCTTAATGATGGCCTCTTCGTCACAGCAACTTGCGGATCGCACCTCACAGTCCCAGCTGAGTATTGACCCTGCTGTTGATGCAGAATCAGCACCATCCGAGGTTTTGAACTTCGACTGCATATTCCGCGCAACATATCCGCATAAGGGCCAGTTAGGACCATCAGGGAAGCGCAGAACGAAGGGGGCAGTAGTCTATGAATGTCTCCTCTGTTCCTCTGATCAGACCTGGTCAAATCCGAAACGAGACAACGCCATATACCATGCGAAGCGCAAACACAGCGACATCATTAACTCTTCGGATAATACGATACTCGTACGGTCATCAGACACCGGTCCTCCATTAAAGCAAGCTAGGCTCGGCGATTATTATACAACAAGCCCATCAAAATCAGCCCTCCGCAGAGTGTTCAATCCCCAGCGCTATACTGAGTGCATGGTAGCCCTTCTCACACGTCGTCGGCTACCCTTTTCGTCAGTTACGTGGGATGAGATGCAGGACATCATGCTAGCCTGTAATCCCGCTATTGAGGACCTTATCATGACATCACGACATGAAGCAATGCGTCATATTACTGCAAACTTTAGCCTATATCAGTCGCAGTTGAAGGCTAAGCTACAAAGCGCCGTTTCCAGGATCCACATCTCATCTGATCTCTGGACATCGCCACATCGCCATGGTGTACTTGCAGTATGTGCGCGATGGGTTGACAAGGAATACGAGCCTAGGAGAGCACTTCTGAGTCTACAAGAGATTCGACACAGCCATTCTGGTGAACATCAGTCTCGACTTATCTTCTCAACACTCGTCCTTTACGGCATCACGAATCAACTCGGCTGCCATACCAGTGACAATGCGACGTCAAACGACACATGTTTGCAGCATTTGTCAACCAGGCTTAGGCGGGATCATCAGGTACGTCATACTCTTGCGTTATTCTCGTATCTAGTCGTCTGATTTATAGTAGATCAACTGGGATCCGAAACGGCACCGCATCCGTTGTATCCTTCACATTATCAACCTATCACTTCAAGCCTTTCTCTTCGCGTCTTCACGTCACGTGAAGCACTACAAGCCGCCCTTGGTGCAGCTAGCGACGCCACGGGTGATGAGCTCTACGAGCGGTTCTATGTCGTCCTGAACGATTCGTCTGGTGGTGATACCACAGACCAGCCAGATCAGACGGGAGCTCAGACGAGACGTGCTGGCGGCGTCGCATCGAAAAAGGCCTCCGTTCCACAGGGGAATCCTTCATCAAGATCAGATAATAGATTGGACAACACCACTAGTAGGAACGGCTGGTTTATGATCCCTGCTTTGCGCAAACTACACCGGATCGGGCTGTGGCTGCGTAACTCGGCTATCCACAGCGATGCATGGGATGAGCGCATCAAACTACGACTCGGTATTGATAATGATACGCGCTGGAATTCATGGTATAAGATGATCGATAATCTAATGAGAAAAAAGCAGCAGGTAAAGCATTTCTTGCTTGACTATGACAAGACTCTGGGTGATAATATTCTCACCTCTTCAGATTGGGATTACCTAGAGAAAACACATGCATTTCTCCAACCTTTCACATCTACGACTTTGTGGGCCCAGGGCGCGACGACGACGCTCTCGCAAAACCTTATGATCATGGATATACTGCTTCGCCATTACGAGCAGAAGAAGGCATTATCTCATCTTTTTATCTGACCAAACTAATCACTAATCGTTTTTTAGAAACTCTATGAAGCCGAGGAAACATATGATCCTCTCATGCTGCACTCGATTGATGTGGGCTGGTTCGTACTTGATAAGTACTATACTATGTCTGAGGAGTCGCCTATCTATGCAGCTGCCCTCCTCCTCGATCCGCCGAAGCGAGCGCGATACCTTGGGATACACTGGAAGGAGGAGTGGGCGGCGACTGCTATTAGGCACGCACGTACAATGTAGGAGGAAGAATACAAGATGGCGCCCGCTCTTGGACCTGCCAGGCCGCCCAGCGAAGCATCTAGCTCGCAGCAGGGACAGCCAAACGAGCTTGATCGCCTTCTGGACGAGATGATGGTGGCTGAGGACGTGACCAGGGACGTAGATGACTTCGAAAACTTCATCCGCACCCAGCCGATAAAGATTGAGGGCTCTCCTCTCCTCTGGTGGTGTCTGAGGGATCAGATTCGGACATATCCGCGTCTCAGTCGCATGGCCATCGATATACTATCTGTCCCCCCCGGTTCTGCTGATCCCGAGTCGGCGTTTAGCGGAGGCAGACGTACATTATCATGGGATCGCGAAAGGATGTCATGTGCTAATTTGGAGAAGGTTGAATGTATTGGCAACTGGCTGCGTGAAGGACTCATTATACCATCATCACGTGGCGGTAGAGGGCTCGTCTTGGACGGCGAAATAAACGGCAGTGTTCGGGTTGATTCAGATGATGATCTAGATTAGAATCGAATGAAATGTTGCCCTTAAGCTATGTACATATTGTTATCCCATCGACTGCGGCATGACGTCGGTACATTACTATGCTCAGTAGTAGCCAATTGGATCACGTCGGGCCCCTTTTTCTACCCAATGACCGTAATTGATAGTTGGTACCTCCATCACCTATAGATTTTGCGTGTGGAATCGGTACCAGCAATCTTCGCTGGTACATATGGCCACATCACATTCTAAACAACCCCTCCTCGAGTACTTCCGCTTTGTACGCTGCGTATGGCTATTCCCACTTATGGGCCCTAGGGCAGTCCTATCCTTAATTTGCGAGATCTGACTGCAAGCTACGCAGGGCGAGGAGACCTTTCTGCTCCCCCGTTTATGTAATTGCCACGGGACCGCCTCGTTCCGACGGTCTGTTGCCCTCCGTGGCCGTGCCCGCTGACGAACAGCAGCCAATGTTCCAAACCTCTGAATAAGGTGGGTAGACAGCTGTCTACGCCATTCAAGTTGGGTCTTAACCCGGGGCCAGTCCGGATTACCCCATTGTTGGAGAAGGAAAGTGTTGATAATAATCACTTCGAGGAGGAAGTTCCAGGCCAAGGCCTGCCAACTACCCCTTCTCACGGGCCTGTTAAAGTTGTAATAGGACCGCATTTGATCACTCGTATCGACACCGTTCATTCGGTGGTTGTACTCATCTACTGCCAGAGGTATCCTGAGATCTTTCCGGACGTCCGGACCAAAGACTTCCCGGGCCGCCTTCTTCGCGGCAGTGTTGCCGGCAGGCCGGCGGCGGTTGCGGACCACTTCGGAGGTCTCGTCGAAGACCGTGGTGAGGAAGAGAACGAGGGCATTATCCTTCCAAGTGAACTGGTTGACCTAGGAGTTATCCAAACAAATGGATAAGTATGAAGTCAATAGCAAGAGGTATTTTTGACCGCTTACTTGTCCGTCAGCCGTGGAGATTGCATGGAGCTGCCCCCAGGGGATTCCTCTACCTTCTGTCTCCTTCTCAGCCACAAGAGTCTTATTAATACCACCATCTTTACGGCAAGTGCCTGTGGCACCAATCTTTTGGTCCTGCAGGGCCCGGAAGAGCTTCACGGAGGCGAACAAATTATCCAGAAATACATGGTAAGTAGCCAATGGAAGGAGGGCAAGCAGCGAGGTGACCACCAGCTGTGTCGGCGTAAGTGCCGTCTTCCGGGCCACTTGGTCACCTGCTGCGGGCCGGGCTTGTGGCACAAGTCCGTAAGGCCCGTCGCCGTGGACGTGCCAGAGCCACCGGAGGCAGTACCCCTTTTGCGCCAACACCCACACCTTAAAACCCTGCGGGATCGGCTTCGTCGGGATCGTTGTGGTCTCCATAGACCGGCCCGTGAACCGGACCATGGCCTCGTCGACGGTGAGGTCCGAGCCGGGCTGGAGGAAGCGGTCGCCGGTCTCTTGGATGTGGGCGGACCACTCATTGACTTGTTTGTACACCTTCGGCATCCGAGACTCTCGGGGATCACGGCCACGGCCGACACGGGTTGGCCGGGTTGGTGCTGTAATTAGAGCTGCGTCGAAGATCTAAACCCGGCGGAAGAGGAGCTGGAAGCGGTCTCTCGTCATGAGTCGAGTAAAAGGATGGATAGGATCCTCCTGATCCTGCTGAACTGACCAATATCTTGCGACTTCTGCTTCAGGGTGTATTCCCATATAAATCATCCCATATAAATCAGAATGCCTAAGAAGAGGTAGAGTTCGTCTGAAGTCGTTGGCTTCCACAGAAGACTGCGAGAGCGTCTTTGTGCTGGCCCGAGCCTCGCGGAGGGCGGCCCCGCGTTAGTCCACTTAACCCACCGGCCCACGAGCTCGGCTGGCACGAAGTCGAAGAAGAGGTCTACCGGCTGCCTGGGCAGCTCGAGCACCTCGGCGGGCCGGTGCGGCACCTCGAGGGGTACGAACTGCCCCGGACGCGAGTAGAAATAAGCAGCTCCATCCAAACCATGCACGGTACTGTACATCAGGCGACATCACTCAAATTCATCGTAGCTAGTTCCTAGGTTGCGTTACATGGGGTTTGCATGCACTCTGCATCCCTTTTCTTATCACGACCCAGTTGGAAGAGCTCGCCCTGCTATTATTAGTGGTGTAACATAGCCCACGTCATGTCTATCCCTTATGCACTCTGCAAGCTCTAATGCGTGATAGTGCCAGTTCGGCACCAGCTATGTGCCTATTCGATGGCAAAGTCTTGTCGCTAGAGTTGCCCGACTTGGATGGCCTCCTGCATATGCCGCCTACGCACTAGAATGGATACGTTGTTGTATCGTACGAATCGTGCATCTTGGCCTGCCTCGAGCGGTCATAGGAAGGAGTACATCGACATTACTGGATGCCAGCGAGGTGAGTTACACTGATACGCGAAATGGTATGTATCTGGCCCTTACTAGCGAAGTCCCGTATTTCCTGTATCCATAAAAGCCGCCGATGATTCAAGTCTTATCATTGAAGCACATCTAGAGCACCACAAATACCCATAATGTCCACAGACAACGTACCAGGTTTCAGCACCCCGTTCAGTCCCAATCCTTTCAAGCAAAGCTTGATCGATTCCTTAAGGGGAATTCCAAGATATCTCTTCCGCGTTTCGGACCCTACATCTCCTGGAACGACGAATCAGACCGAGGTATGCTCACCAGCGGCCCAGAATCTGCCGATACAATCAAAAGATCTTTATCAAATATTCCCGCTACAGCAGGCCGCCCGCGTCCTTGATGCCCACTTATGGTGGAGGTGTTCCGCTTCCGGCTCGGACCCATGCAATCTCACTTCTTGGACCAGCTCCCCCCTTGTTGCCCTTCAGTACGGCTTCTATCGACACAGGTCCGGGAGTCGACAAGAACTGTCCAAAATCAAGATCTTGATGATCAACACTAAGCAGTTTGGCGATAACAACATTTTTGCACGCGATTTACAAGCTATTGCCGCATTCAAAGACGTCTCCAATGAGAACACCCAGCTCGACAAGCTTTATGAGTTACGCTACAATGGTTCTTACTATCCTGGAGAATACCTCTCCCAAGGGCGACTTATCATCGACTCTAAGAGATCTTGTCAAGTTTCCATGCAAGAACTTGTGGACTGTGGTCTCTTCAACGTCTCAGCTGGGCTAAGTGACGAAGCACATTGGTCCCTATGGGCCAAACGAGTGAATGGACTACGGAACGAGATGAGACAGGAACTACCGCGGATACACCCCAGAGACGTTCGAGCAGCCGTTAACGTGGCCAAAGCTTTCAAGCATTTTGAGCTACCGTCAACTATTATGCTCTTGAGCATTAGCCCGTATGATCTGATCAACAGTGCTTCAACTATTCTTGAGGTGCTTTTACAAAATTACTCTGGTGAGCCCTGGTTTAGATGAATCCCAATGCAGATTAAACCTGTCCACTAATAAGTAAGTTTCTTCAGAGCAAGAGATTCGACAACACGTCGTCTTCACTGATTTCATCTTTGGTACGGACACTGGAAGGCTGCTTGAGGTAGAAAGGTGGCGAGATTTGCACAAATGCCTTGGAACACGTATGACACTTAACATCGATGATATTGGGCGAAAGGCGGAAGAAGCAGACATCGAGAACGACGAATCAAGCACTCTTACGGATGCTTTCGCCAGTTTCAATATCCAGTCCGATATCACGTCACCTTAATAAGAAATAAAAGACAGACTGCGAACATCGAGCTGAAGTCTCAGTGCACTTGATTAGGAGCCGTTGTTCGCTTCATTTGGAAGGTGTGGGTGAGATGGCGTCTGGCCCCTCCTCAATCACAGGGACCATCGGCTCAATAACAACGACTCCGCGTACAGCTCCCGAAATAACCATCCGGAAGGCACTGATGTTGTTTAGGTGTATAACGCCCCGGACACCAATGGGTCACAAGTAGCCCCATGGTCACGTCGACTTTGGAATTCCCCTACTACAGGGTAATAATGTGATTGCCCATCTTGCCGTCGAAATTGGCTTTTTACCACCATCTGCGTCCGCGCATCCTCCAACCACGCCCACAACCAAGGCTGTGCCTCGCCACGGTGGTTTGGGGTGCTTCTCGCCCAAGGATTGCACGTTCATCCCAAGTGCCTGCCGCAACATCGCCTCTGCTTCTTTGGTCAAGCCTCGTTCTGGAAGCGTAGTGGCAAGGTTGCACTCTGTTATCTTGGGCAGGTCAATCGTCATTGAAGGCGTGTGCAGCCCATAGACCGCTTGTCTTCCACATGATGCATAGCAATGAGGAGTGGTCGCTCTAGCGCTCTAACAGGAAGTTACTCGTGGGACACATAGGAAAGGTTTAACGCTGAACATGAAGACCTGCCTGTCCGTTACGTGATTGTCACCGAAATAGGAAAAAGCAAAGAGGTATTCCGCCTATTTCTTTACTTCCTTCATAACAAGCGTACTCGGGGGGACCGAAACCATGCAGGCTCTACTATTTCCGTCGCAACGTTTTGCTCTATTGTATTACGGATCATGACCGTAGGATTCCTGATCGGAGATTCATTCTGCCCAAGCCAGCACCTTCAGTATATCTGTTGTGGCTTGACTCAACCCTATGTAGCCGTTCCTCGTGACATGCGCCAATTTGAATTTCGGACCAGCTTGATCTTCTTGTTTTGTTGTATCCAGGAGACGAGCCTTGGGAGGTTGAAGTCGAGACACAAAACATCGTCTTCTTGACGAACACTCCACTCGTCCTCATCTAGCACATCATTTGCATGTTTTTCTGCCTCCTCGGCCAGGGTTCCAAAGGTCTTTGGATGAAAATGAGGATGTACAACACTTGGATACAATTTGTACAGCAGCTGTTTTTCCAAGTCGGCCGAATCTTGTGGTGCGTTGAAGTCATCTAAAAGCTTCTGCTTCAGTTCCGTTTCCGATAACACGTTTTCAGGTGCGCTTGGATCGAAAACAAGATTGCGTCCATCAACCTGGGTCACATTTTGCAAGCTTCCCATGCCTCCCGGGTGTTTCATACTATATGTTGGGTGATTCGACACAGTTCTCGTCTGAATGCGTGCTTGCGAATCCTGTCCGTGTTCATCGTAGAATGAGTAAAGCAAGCTTCCGATTGTTCCATTATCATTCATGGGATCGCCCCACATTTGTGTCAGCGCGAAGCGTCCATTGTTTAGTGGAATCCAAGAGTCAAACAACTCATCCCCAATAAGGTAACGTAGTGACATCCATAATAGAAATTGACACCACATGCCGCAGTCGAGTGTGGTAGGCCCTTGGAGCAGTTCGTTGAGGCCTTGACTCAACGGCGCTTCTCCGCGGTAGGACAATACCCAGTTATCGTCAATTAGTCCGTTGAACCAGGTGGGAGGGCATTGCCGTCTGATATCTTGATCCCACATAGTGATAGGGTGTTGAGAATGCATCTTGTTCCACGATTGTGTGAAAGAATTGAGGCTATGCGGTCCTTTCAACGGATTGTCGTAGTATGCCGCTCTTTTATGGCCAATCAAATCGGACAGAACCATCGCCCCCTCGATGAAAGTCTCTATGTCCCAGGAAGGGGGACGGCTTTTCAAATCTGCGAAGTAGGCTTGCAACTTGCTTGTCGGCAGTGCGTCGTGCAGTTCGGACAGTATTTCTGCTCTTTCTTGTGTCTTTTCTCCCGATAGTCTTGTTATGAAGATCCCTCCGGAGGGTGATTGCATGGTTGTTGGTGTCTAGCTAGGGTCAGTCAATCCATCCCCCAAAGTCTAGGAAAGTTAGCATGTCTGCAGCTCACCATTGCGATCCGCCTCTACTACGTCAAAATGGCCATTCCTAGTGATCGCAGCGTTCCGAAACGGTCGTACCTGCGCTAGAATGTCTGCCTTAACTTAGGGTTACGACGGCAGGGCCGAGGCAAAAGACGCTGAGGACAGCCACAGAAGATTTAAACACTGGCGGTCCTCTATGGATATTCAGAAAAGCGGGGCATTCGGCCAACCGGGAGCGGTGAACGCCTCCGCATGGAGGAGACCAGGACATCCACTCACTACAGTAGCTTTGCCTCGGCCCGCCCGCGCTTGTTGTGCCGCCACTGAACCCCGTAGTCACTCTTGGATGTTGCATCTGTGGTTAGCAGAACAGGCAGCGGTGATGCCGCTCCAACCGGGTGCCGTGATAGCCAATCGCCCGAGTAAAACCCGCCATCAAAGAGGGATTGATGCGGAGTCGAGTGGCTTTGTCGCCCAGTTGACGCACCACGGATATGCCCCCAACAACAATAAAGGCAGGCTCCGCAGCATGCTGTAGGGTGGTCTGGGAGTGAGATGAGGAGGAAAAGGGTCTCGCCAACAAGGCTCTGACGGTCAACGGGACTGGAACTGTCGAAAGGGGCCCGCATCGACGCCACGGTACAATCGCAGGCAAGGTCGACCGGATATGGTGTGACACTGCACGTGTGAGCACCGCAGGCGATTCCGGTGTTGATTGGCGTGTCGCGTTACAAGGAAATATGCAACCAGTCTGCTTGACTTCTGGGACTTGGCTTTGGCACACTGCGTGAACAGACTTGCAAGTTTGGCGTCACCCGCAGTCTTGGACGAGGGTTGAGCACGGTTCGGTACATTCAAAGCAAGCAAGGTCAGTTGTAGCGCTTCGAAAAAGTACGCGACACGGCTCTTCCGCGTTTGCCCGTTAGAGTGGATGGCCAGTAGTGGAGGCGCTAAGCCATGAAAGGGGTAAAGCAACCGCGTTGTGCCCCTGGCGGCTGGAAGATAAGCAGCGCCTCGCCGAGAAACAGCAATCATCCAAGCTGGTCCAACGATTGGCCCGGCCAGTACCTCAGACGTCGTGTGAAGCGCCAATGTTGGTTTCCGCGAATGGAATAGAACTGGCCCTCTCGAGAACCTCGAATCTCTCATACTGTTCGTATCACAAGACATCTTCTTCGCCGTGGGATTCCGTAAGCGCGCTTGGCCTGCTTCGTAAAAACGCCAGCGGCTACGAGCTGGCTGGCAAGGACGTGCACTACCAACGTGCAGCGCACAGCAATGCGCCAAGGGCGCGTGACAAAACAGATGCGGGCGCGGCTTAGCCGCTGCTCAGGCAGCTGCCTTGTACTGTGAGGATCTATCAGCAGAATGCCCAATGGTAGGCCATGGTGTAAGGCCAGTTCAACCTGAGAAAGAATGGAGACAGGTCGTAGCAGAAGGTCGTTTCAGTGTACGAATCCGGACGACCCTAGACGAAGGAACCGGCGGTTTCTGATCCTTAGAGAATAGGGGCTTCTGAAAGTAAAGGTGTGCCCTTGCGCTTGGGACGGCTTGTTGCAGGCTGCGGGGTACCTCGGCAGCACAGTGGTTACGACACCCTAGGAAGCTCTTCTAACACTGCCTGCCCTGGGTCGGCGGACGGGCATTCCTTCTGCCAGCCCGTTACCAAGCAGTCCCCAGCGGTCTTGTCCGATCCGTCACCGACCCATCATCTCGCTTCAAAAGGCGGAAAGACGGACAGTCATCAAAACCGGGGAATGAAACTTGCCTCAGGCGTCAACACCACTGCAATCCTGATGACAAAGACGTTCGCCGTTTTGACATTGCCCCGAAACAAAAGCGGTACTCACTGACATTCCCATCCCGTTTCCACTTCTGTAATCTTCCTTTTTTCTTTTCTCATCTCGGCTCAGTAGAAATCTGACAAACGTCCTGCACGAGCATGCGTCACCATCCGCACCAAATTTAGGATAAACGATTCCCAGCGAGACTGCCATCGTGCGTTGAAGAGGATTCCGTTTCTCCTAGAAGGAACGCACAAGTCCAACCGTGGGTGAGGCCACAAGAGTAATCCTGGCGACAGCTCCTGCCATTTGCATTGGGGGACGACTCGTTAAAAGGCGTCACGCGCCCCGTCAGTACAGGTAGGGAGTCATTCAAGCCCGCAGACCCGGTCTAGACTTCTATACGTACCCCTAGGGTGCTGTTTTGCGAGAATTGGGCATGGGGGCCGTAGAACCAAAACAAAGGAAAATCTCCATCGCAAAAGCTGTCCATCGAGGGGAGGAGCGACCGGGCCCATACCTGTCCTTTTTCCCCATGAGAAAGAGCGCGGCAACTTCCCTGTATTATCTCCTACCACCTTCTGGACTTCACGTATCTTCTTCCCATGCCACCAGTTAACCACACCCCCCTTCCCCCTCCCCCCGCAGGTCGCAACGCTCCAAGTGCTGCTTCTGTTCTGGCTGCTGCTCACCTGCATCCCACCTTACCTTCTCCTCCCATCCGTACTTCGTAACGAGACAACCTCTGAAGAAAACCACACCACGATCGCCATCGCTATTCCTGCGCTTCAACCGGCAGGATGGTTTCCGCCCCCCCTGTCTTGGCCCTAGAAGCCGCCCTCAAGGCCATCCCAGACCATAGGGCTCCTGGCATTACAGGCACTCGCATTGCTGCCATGACCAGCATCTGTGTTGAAAACGTTCAGGTACGATACGATATTCGACACGCCGTCGCATCTTGAATCACCTGGTAAATTTGGCTAACCTTTGTTTTTTCCCTTCTGCAGTATGAGTCGGCCCTCGTCCAGAAGCTGTTCACCTACTTCATGATGGCAACTCCTCCTTATAAGCTCGGCTTTCTATATGTTGTAGACTCAGTGGTCCGCAAGTGGCTTGTGCAGGCTAGAAGCCGTCAGCAAGTCTGCGACGAGAATGCCGCAGATGGCACTTGCGGTGCTGGCGTGCATCGACTGACGGTGCTGATGCCTAACTTCATCGATGACTTACTTCGAGCTTTGCCCGACGGCCACAAGGTGTGTAGCAAGTTCTACGATATGAGGGTGTCCCCCGTCGCCATTTCCTACCCCGCGCTGTTTACAGCGGTATCGACGTTAAGTTGATTGCATACTACCTGGCAGGCTTTCACCCCTCTCAACATTCTCTCATACTTGGGAGGCAACAATGGGAGTAAGAGATTGTGGCACACTCACACACGTCGGCACTTGTCTGTTCTTGATGTACAACTGAACTTAGCGAAACGCTTACTGATACTGCTCTGCCTTCCGTAGGACAAGTTGCATAAGTTGATTGGAATTTGGCGCAAGGCCTCGACGTTCCCTAACGAGATGATAAAGTCATTCCAGAGCAAGCTGGAGGCTATGCCTGCCCCCGTTCCAAGTATGTTATCTCTTTGGTCGAGTATTAGTTTCCATCTCTTTGCTCGCCAACTTCAAATTCCGTCTCATTCTAACTGATTTGACCGTTTAGGCCCAAATCCGGCCCGGTTTCCTCTGCCACTGGCCCAGTTCCAGGGCCTGCCTACAAGGATACAGTTTTCAGACCAGCCTCGGATACCCCAGCTGCCTCGTCAGGTCGCCGGTGTCTCTCCTAACACCGCTCAGCAGATGGCGATGTTTCGGATAGCCCCCAGTCAGGGCACTACCGCCGACAGGTTTGCTGTCATGCTCACGTCCGTCAGCGGCAGCCATAACGGTGCTGCTCCCGTGGTATCTACTGCCCCCACCGCCTCCAGCCTTTCGATTCCGCCTGCTCCAGCCATCGCTGCGGCGCCGAATTACTACATTTCGGGACAGAGACATGGCGGCTCCGCTCAGCCCAACGGTAGCCTCAACCAGCATGGGTACGACAACCGCGCGCGGTCCCCGAGCCGACACCAGGGTCCCACTCGATCCGGATGGCCCAGTGATAGTAGACGCAAACGTCGAGGCAGCAAGCATCGTCAGCGTATTCTGGCGCCGAGCCGCGATGGCAGCCGCAGCAACGGCTCTCGTTACGGCTCAAACGACAAGCGGGTCGAATTCGACCGATCTCTTCCCGCCGGCCACATCAAAGGTCTTAGCCGAACCCTTCTGAGCAATAGCATGCAGCTCAGATAGGGTGGAGGCTTTGGTCCGTGTGATGCTAGCGACTGCAGCAACAACTCTAGACCCGTTGTGCCTGGTCTGGTCGTCGAGGCGCCCGACGTCGAAAATGACGCCGGTGTGTCCCCAAAGGCCATCAGCCGCCGCATGCAGAGGGCAAAGAGCGGCAACGACGGTCCTCGCTCTACCCGTCGCAGACGCGATGCATGTCACGATGACCCTGGCCGCTGAGCCGTAGGTGCAACCGTGGGAACCGCCGTGGTAATCCTCTCGACGGTAAAAGGAACTCTGTCACCAACGCTCAGCCACTCCCGTAGCCATTTCCCTTAGGTATCGGCACCCTGCCCAACGGCATGCCGACCTACTCTCGGGCTTCATGTTCCCGGCCACAAAGGGCAACTATTAATCGTTCGATTCTCCCACTTCCTTAAACTGTATATGGGATAGATATCGTTTACGTTGAGTTATTGATCACGACGAGTGAGGGTCTCATCTCCTTATTATACCTTAAAGCCTAATGTCTGCAATAAGCGTGCGTCACAGACAAGCATGCACCACCAAACCGCGACCATGCGACCTTTCCAAGAGAGTGACTCACCCGTAACGCCCTAGATTCGCCAAAATCAACCAGCGAGATCCTCGTATAACATTTTTATGTCTATCTGACAGGTGCATGAGCTATGATCAGCTAGGATTACCGCAAATACCACACCGCCTTTGCTTCGCCTCAGTCCTCGTTGTCCGATCAGCCTGTGATCTCCTCAAACCTCTGGAAGACAAAATGGCCTTGAATTAAAGCATGCCATTACTGAAGGGCCTCTTTCCAAGGAGGGAGAAGCTGGTCCCGGATTGGCTTTCGAAGTCAGTCAGCGGCCAGGGGTCCTGCTCAGCACAGGTCCTACGGCAGAATATCGCAAGGGTACCTGACTTGCCCTTGCCGCAAAGACATTGATGTAGTCCTGGGTGGTTCAAGTGGTCGTGGTAGGCTAAGAAGCTTCCACGCCCTGGGCGAGTAGGAAGAAGCCAGTTTACAAGGAACGAGCTTTTTATGGCTTCGGTTTCACTATAACTGCCGGCAAGCATTGTCATCCGCATTACCTGATGCTGCTGGGTGGTCTGTGGCGGAGTATATGCATTTACTACGACTAAAACACAATGAGCATCTGTTAACGCAATCATCCAGCACAGGTGGATATGAGTCATAATTTACGAAAGGGCAAGAAAATGGCGAAACAGGCTCTATATTGGACAGTTTGACAAACAACTCTATGAACCGGCATTATGTTGAGCATGAATTCCGTAAATTGTCAGAGTCGCGTTAACATTATTTTCTCGCAGGCGATTTGCATAGTAACGCATACATTAAACATTATCATCGCACGAAGAACTTTTTCTCGCAACTCTTGACGAGCTCTTGTCGGATACTGGTGTTGGCGATCGACTCCGAAGCACGTAGATGGGATTCTACATAATGACGTTCCGCTTACAGTGTACTGTGGTTACTCAGGCCGCGATTTGCACGAGTCAAAGGAAGATGTGAAGACCACAAAGCTCAACATGGAAGCCTTGCGGGGAGCATAGCTTACATCTAGACTGTTGGCTTGAAACACAGGGGGAAAAAGGGTTCGATATACCATTCTTCTGCTGGTGATTGCCTCTGTGTTCCACCGAGACATAGTTACTAGCAGAGCTGGATGCTTGCCAATACTATAGTGCTTTGGCGGATTGTATATGTTTCTTTGCTTTCAAAGATTCAAAGACAGAGGGGCAAAGGCCGGTGCATTATTCATTAATGCCCTGCGGGGTGTACTGTACTGCATGGCATGAAGTAATGCAACCAAAACATGAAGATCTATCGTGACTTGTCAGGTGGAAGGCGGTATTGTCAAAGTGGCTGAACTTTGGACTTAGCCAGCCAGCTATGTCACCAACTCAACATACGTACTGCACTTCATACATGGTCATTAAATATCTTGACGTTCAACTTGTATGGATCAAAGAACACTCGACTACGGCCACCATACGTGAGTCGTTAAGTATAATTCTAGACAATTGTACCGCTAACTGTGTTAATGTCCTTTTCACCACTTCCACTGACGCAAACAATTATATTATCACTATTTCCCATTGACCTCGCCGCTTCAACAGCACCATGGATGGCATGTGCGGACTCCAGCGATGGAAGGATACCTTCAAGTTGACATGTTAGCCGGAAGGCACTCAAAGCTTCCTCATCTGTTACTGAAAGAACTTCAAGGCGCCCAGAATCCTTCCAAAAACTCAGTTCAGGGCCGACGGCAGGGTGATCCAGGCCGGCAGCAATAGAATGGCTGTGTCTGACTTGGCCATGATCGTCCTGCAACACATATGTCATAGCGCCCTGGAAGACACCCCCTCTCCCTCTTGATAACGCAGCACTGTGTAAGGAGGTGTGAACACCACATCCTCCAGCTTCAACGCCTACCAGCCTGACTCTAGTATCCTCCAGGAACGGAGGGAAAAGTCCAACGGCATCTACACCAGTGCCGACACAGGTGACAACCGCGTCGGGTAGCCGCCCTATCTTCTCTAAGGCTTGCCTTTTTGTTTCCGCACCAATAAGCGACTGAAATGTTCGGACGATAAGAGGAATTGGATAAGGTCCCACTGGTGTACTGGCTAAATAGAATGATGTATCATCCACGACACAAGCACGCATGGCCTCGTTCATCGCGTCCCGGAGAGTCTGGCTTCCTGTCTTGCTAATAACAAGCTCAGCCCCCAATGTCATCATCGTCCTCACATTTGTCGATTGTCGTGATACGTCTTTCTGAAAATATTGATCAATAGAGCGTCAAGTCAAGGATTGTTTTGAGAATACTCACTGCTCCAACATGGACAATGCATTCCAGGCCGAACTTCGCACATAGAGCGGCTGCGGCAACGCCATTTTCACCTGATCCCGTCTCTGTCACAATTTTTCTCTTCCCCATCCGCCTAGCGAGGAGGATTTGGCCCAAGGCGTTGACAATTTTGGACGATCCAGTATGGTTCAGGTCCTCTCGTGCAAACCATATTTTTGCGCCGTTGGCGTATGCCGTTAATCGCCCAGCCAGATGAAGACGGCCCGGCCGGCTAATGTAGTCGTAATGATTTCGGTACTCTTCCCAAAAGTTCGAGTTGCTGGCTTCTCTGATGAAAGTGGTCTCGAGCTCTGACAGAAATGCCATAAAGCTTTCTGGTACGTATTGCCCCCATAAACTCCATAACGCTTGGATAGTGCCGACATATCTGCGGTAGTTGTTGTTAGCGATTGCCGTTGTTGCCCTCACCGACACCATAAAGTACCAACAGGCCGCTAGGGTGCAGCAAAGCACTCGTATTTTTGCGCGCGTAGCCCCTCGGGAGCAGCAGCACGTTGCAGTTCAGAAGGTGAACAAATTTTTTTATCCGTTTGTGTAAACTAGCCGGATTGAATGTGTTGCATGACGCTGTGTTGCACTGTAACTTCCGCAGCAGACTTGAAAAACTTTCCAGTAGTTGTCACGTCAACTGTCAGTATGAGCATCATCACAATTCCTTGAACCCAATCGAGGGATAGGCCGTAGCTCGTACGAAGAAAGCAGTACAGTATCAAATCCTACACAGCCCACTCCGCATGTATTACAGTAGAGATAAAAGTAATCAAGCTGTCAAAGGCGTCTCTTTGGCATTATGGCCCAACGATCTCGGCCAGAAATTGCGAAGAATGTCTTGATATGACGCTCATTGCCAGTGGATGAGGTGGCTACCGAATACGATGCGCATCAACTCATACAGGGCAGACCCGTGTGTCCGGGCATAGCCACATTCGGCAGTTTGATCAAGCTTCATTCTCTAGATTCAAATTCTGGGGAGCAACTTTAGGGCTCCGAATGAATCATGGCGACCCGTAGGGTCAGATGGAGGCACGGTACTGTACAATGGTACATAGCGGGATGAAGAGGAAAGAAAAGTGCGTTACAGTTGAATTTGGGATCGGTTTCCGGGCTTTTGCTTTGAGTGGTTCAGGTCTACGGATGTTTGTGGATCCTCGCGACGACAAGCCACAAGACGACACAGGTGGAAATTGAGCAAACAGCTGAAGGGGCGGGCCCATAACAAAAGCCACGATTGGCGCTTTGAGAAGGTGTTTGTCCGACCCAGCAACTTAGTGCAAAGAGCAAGTTCCTGCTTTCACAGCATCGGTCATCAGCATGCAACCAAGGTGCCACATCTGTCTCTCCACGCACTCCATTAGCATGCGGCTCTAATTTTGTCTCTGAGGCTGATTTCGGTATCGACAGTACAGTTTGCCAGTGGCGCGTCGCCACACAGGAAGTGGTCAACTTTGCTATGACTCGTGGTGTTTCCTGGCACGACGCTAAACCAAAGAGTCCAAAGCGACTCCATGCTGATGATTAGTGCCCGATGCACATTCCAAATGACACAATCGTCTTTCTTGGAGTCAGGCTATTCATAAAGTGACCAATGGGGGTAGAACCCTCATAAATGAACGACATGCCACGCACATACACAAAGTTTTAGGATGATCTTTTATACCATTACATTGTCGTGAACCGAGACGTTTCCTGTCTTCGATCCGCTCTCTAGTATCACAGGTTACCCGTGATGCACCAAGTTACAGTACCACAAAGTCTAAACAATGTCATCTCTCCAAGCTTTATCGGAAATCTCCCCATTAAGCTTTCCGTTTCAGCAACACGGGTTTTTGCCTCCTGACCTACCGTGCAAACAACTTTCCGACCCGATATATCAACCTTGGGAGCAGTTAATTTCTCAATTACCACGCTTGAATAAGTCATCAGAGATTCAGACTAGAGTCAATGAACTTCCAACTCTCGGTACGAAGGGGTTACACGGCAAGGCAGAATGGAGACGCGCCTATGTCATCTTGTGTTTCTTAGCCCATGGCTACATATGGGCTTCGAATCCGCCCGCGGAGGTTCGTTCGTCGTCGCTGCGAAGACTCAAAAGCTGATTTTAGTTTAGGTCTTGCCTCCAACCATCACTCTCCCACTACTCGAAATATCCGACTTTCTGGAAGTACCTCCAGTTGCCACTTATGCTGCTTTGACCTTGTGGAACTGCAGAAGTAGCAAAACCGACAAGGTCCAGCTCGAAGGTCTCACAGTAGAGCATACGTTTACCGGCACAGACGATGAGGCTTGGTTTTATCTGGTTTCAGTGGCCATGGAAGCACAAGGGGGCCGCATCATCTCTGTTGCTACTTCAGCTCTTTCGCACATGCTGCAGAGGGACTACACAGCTGCAATGGCACTTTTGCACAGTCTCGCGGCTGAAATTGACAATCTTGGCAATATCTTGGGAAGATTACACGAAAACTGTAATCCTGATGTGTTTTTCCACAAAATCCGACCTTTCCTACAGGGCGGCCAAGAATCAGCAGGGTTCTCCAATGGGATCTTCTACGACGAGGGTTCTGGAAAAGGAAGCTGGAGGCAGCTCAAGGGTGGGAGCAACGGGCAAAGCTCCCTTTTTCACTTTCTTGATATCGTCCTGGGGGTGCAGCATGTCCCAATCCAAACCAAAGCCTCCCAAGACTTTCGCGATGAAGCTTCCAAATGTTTCTTTCGAGAAATGAGAGAGTACATGCCTGGGTCTCATCGTCAATTTCTTAGCCTTTTCTCCGACCTCCCCAATCTCCGCGACCTCGTTGCCTTGTCCAAAGGGAACGACCACCACCAGGAACTTTGGGGAGCATACAGGCAAGCTACAAGAAGCTTGACTGGGCTGAGGACCAAGCACTTGAGCATTGTTGCTCGTTACATTATCCTGCCATCGAGACCGACTTCGCAACAGCCCAACAACCAGGAGGAACTCTACGGTACGGGAGCTACGTTGCTGATCCCGTTTTTGAAACAGGCTAGGGATGAGACAAATCAGGCAGGAGAGAGCCAACCATGAAAGTTGGTGTTGCCTCGGAACGCGGGCTTTCAGTAGGACAGACAGTTTCAGCAATCTTTTACAACTAAAATGAAGTTCCCAACCCGTATATCGAGATCAGTAGTTACCGGTATGATCTACTACAGAGGCGGTGGCCAGCAGCAAGGGATCCCGCTCTGCTCCACACTCCTAGCACTACTTTACGTTCAAAGAATGTCGGGACTTGGAGTCTCCAAAAGAGGCACTCGATACAGCACTCGAGTAAATGAGTGCAGTCGACATGACACGTGAGGTGAAAACGATGAAGATCCTTGTCGGCCAACTTCGTCGGATGAGCGTTTGCTCCACTTGCCTGGCGGAGGGCAATTTTAGTCTGCCAGGATATCCTGGCCAGAGCGAATTTCCAGATAAATGTTGGCTAAGTCAGACACATCACAATGTGCAGCCGGCGCCGAGCATCAAAATTGGTCGATGGCTTCCACCTTTCGTTCTAGACCACGCACTACGTAAGTAATAGACCGCAGAATCCACAACGACATCGGCCCAGTCAGTCAAGGCTGCAACTCATGCGGTCCCACACCATCACTTTGCTGCGCTTCAAAATCCACTCCGTCATGTCCCAGCATCCCCATCACGCCGACCGAGCCCTTTTTGCGACCCCGGTGATGTCTCATGCCCCTCCGCTTCCGAGTGGAGTGGTTTCGGCACTTTTTGGCGCTGTGCCCTTCACCTACGGACAGCTTGACGGAGCCATCCATGTCCCGGAGGGTCAGAGCGTCCCGAAAGTCAACCAGTTTGTAAGCCAACTGGGTCGGAGGAAAGGATTGCTTTCGCATAGGAGAGACTACGACGCAGATCAGCTACTGGATTTGTACTTCGGCCGGCAGCCCATCAACCGTCGACGTTGCAGTCGGTCTACCCAGCCCGCCGCCACCCCCCCTTTCACTGGTGGAGAGAGGGTAGGCCGATTGGAGACGAAATCACCTTCGAGATGAGCGATATCAAAAAGCCAGGAGCTGCCGACTGGTGCGGATGACGGGCTTGATGCAGAGCACACAGGTGACGCAGGGGAAGACACAAGGGAAGACGCCGATACGGATCCGCAACCGGCCTCGGGAGAAGATCAGCACGAGTCGAACCATCTCGAAAGAAACGCAACCACAGGAGGCTTGCGCGAAAGCCTCGCAAATTCTGTATACAGTCTGATCGACGACACCAACAACTTCGACGACGCCGAAGCTGCCAGTTCCCCAGAGACGAATATTATGACCCTTGCAGCATGCAACGCGACAAATAAGGAAAGGTCTGGACGAATCAGCGGGCTGCGGAGCTGACAGGGGTCTTTCTGTCAGGAAAGGATAGGCGACGAGGAGATCGAGTGTCAAACGAGCACAGACAGTGACTTTGGCTGGCCTGAGCTCAAGCCGCCCAGTTCAACAGACAACGGGCCGGCCGTGTCTGATTGGCTCGCAATGGATGCGGAGGAGGCCCCGAGTAGCGAAGCGTTATGCGAAAATGAAGAGCGAGAGCGATCGACGTTCAAGCGCATGCAGATAGAATGCACGCGCCAACGTCGGTTTTTCGAACGTGTGCGTGTCGAAACAGCTTTGGCTCGCGAGGCAGGTTTGTACAGTCGAGATCGCAGCACTAGGACCGCCTCGGGACGATTGGGACGACGACCGTAGGCGAAAACCGCAGCCTGACGCAGGTATGCAAGGCACCTTGGGGTTGATGGCTAGCCCGACAGTAGTCAAGTCCGGGTTTCGCGATCCGATGCGGCAACAGGTCCGCTTTTTCCAGACTCTCGCTCCGCAGTTCCGTCGTCAAACCCAAGCCGGGGCCGGGGCCGCGGGCGGCGGCGGCGATGGCGGCAAGAATACCTGTACGGAGTACGTGTCATGTGGATGACTAAGAGAGATCCCGAAAATGCTCTGTCTGACTGACCGAGCACGGTCAATATGGCACCGCTAACCTCGTCGAGAGCGATGGCACGGGGAGTAAGTAAGAAGATCGAAAGATCAGTAAAAAAAATATATATACAGGAATCGAAAGGGCACAACAAGCAATATCAAAAGCAGGCCAAGGGGCGAAGAAGCAGCAGTTCGAAAGGGCAGATCTGGGGAAGGGCATGGCGATGTGAAGAGTGCACAGCCACAGACTCACAGCCACAAATCGCGGGGTAATTGCAGCACAGCCAACCCCGCTCCTAGACAAACTCGGGCCAAAGAGTCACAAAGGCCGCCCAATACTAGGCTTATCACAACGCATTCGTAAGACGAACGGTGCCTCGCTACAGTAACACCAACTCATGGCCCATTGAGATTCGATTTTGAACTTTGAACAACATCGCGTTCCCTAACGCTGATGCGCTCATTTTACCTCTATTTGCTGCCAGAATGGCTGGCAAGCGGCCGCCAGTAACTTTGCCTCTAGAACCAGCCCAGGCGTAACACCCAAGAACAGCCCACATGATGCTCAAGCTATGTGTTTCGGTTGACATAAGTTTCTCTGGACGGTCTCTTCGTCGCGGTGTCGTCTCTTCAGCTCCACACAGAATTAAAAACAGGGCTTCTAAGAGAACAGAAAACGGCTTCACATCGCAGTTGATCCGGGGACATCTATTCGAAGTCAGACGTGGGGTTCGACCGTAGCCAGATGTTGCGCTGGCTGGTTAAGGCAACGCCGGAACTGGCTTACACATGATCGCTTCCTAGGTTAACGACTAATTACTGGCACGGCTAGCTGTTCTGAGTATCGAGATGAGCGCTCCATTACTAGCGGAGACCCTGAGATCGAGCATCTGACCGTGGCACCACACAATGATGAGTATGAAGCAAGTTTAGGCCCGAAAGTGTAAAAGACATTCTTGCCGTTTAAGCACACAGGATAGATAAAAGCGTCTTCGTTGGCTACTACTATACAGTATATATGTAAACATCTCCTCGTCTGGATCGTACGTCGCTCTCACCTTGATAATCATTATCTTCAGCGAAAATGACAACTTTTCGGAACCCTGTCTTCACCGCGTTGGTTGTCAACACTCTCTTGATGGTTCACACTGTGCTTGGTCAACTAGACTGTGACTTGTTACATCCGAGTGGTCTTCAATGGGACGTGTTTTACGGTCGGGACTACAATGTTGTATCTGAATTCTGTAACCAGCAAGAACGGGACGAAGCAAATGCTTTGAGTTGGAAGGTGGATATCAACGGCAACAGACAGCAGCCAGCAATGGAGGAACGCAGCCCGCCGGTCACTCCGAATACCTACAAAGACTACGAAGTGGACCTCAAATGGACGCCACACAAGGGTTTTGTCTCTGGTTCATGTTCCAAGAGCTGCTCGAGGACGTACCAGGAAATAGCTCAGAGTCACTGTAAGCCCACGGAAGATATGATCTTTTCCCCTCATGTTATGATTGACATTTATCAAAAGGTGGTCATGCGGGCGGTGAGAGCAACGCGATGGCTAAAAACGGGTCTTGGGACATTGGTTGTGGGCAGTATTCGTGGTTCGTTACCCAACCGGACCATTCCTCACCGACTATCTCGTATGAGCCAAGTCGCCCTATTCGTACCGAAGATTCGTCCTCCAGAATTGCAACGGAGACGGTAATGTGGTACAGTAGCTTGTCGCCCTGATCCTCAAGATAGCACACAGCCAAGTCGGTTGTGGCTGCCAGATTCTTTCTGACCAGGCAGGCTCGTCCAACGTTGGGAATATCGAAAACCCAGGAGGAGAATTGCAATGGTGCACACCCAGGCCGACACTGGGACGTACAGGGGCGTCCGTTCCCATCGCATAGAGACCCACATGTATATAGCCTTAGGTAGCGCTCATTGACAAACAGTCCGTGATCATGGCCCATAACGGTGCGCCACCACTCTCACAAACACTCTCAGTACCAATGCTTGTTTGTTGCACTCTCCCTCTTCTTTCCCTAGTTACTGCGTTATGGCAAGCAAGCCTACGCTTAGAGGGAATCTGGTGTCGAAATCACGGGTGTCGATATGCCGATTTGTGAGCCCTTGCGTATAGACAGGTTCGAGATTGTTTTCGAAGTTTTACTTAAGGGTTCAAGATCTGCGGATGTTTGTGGATCCTCTTGCTGATAAACGGAGATCCTCGCATGGCGTCAGTGTTGCTACGACACGGTGCACAGCTGGAAGTGGCAGTTTCGCGGAGAGTCGTAGCCACGACACTACGCCTGGCCGAGGCCACCAATTATCGGGGGTTGGTCACTGTGCTGACAAGAGAGCCTAAGCTTCTAACCGTACTCCAAGCTTTGTATGCTCACTGCTTCCACGCGCCGCTCAAAAGCAGTGATTCTACTGCTTCCTTGTTTCTTCGAGAGTTGCCACGGGCATTCGTTCGTCTTGTAACGGAGATGCTCAAGCAAACCATCAGTTTGACAAGGATTGAGGTCTTCAAAATGATAAAGCTGCATGCAAGAGGAAACCCACACAGCGGGCTGATTATCTCCGGTCTGTTCTCCTACTTAAGGAATACGGAATGGCTGCGAAAGATGAGACGAGGGAACGACCAGGGACACGATTTTGAATATGGTGGTTCCTACTGTCATAGAGCGAGTCATCTGTATCGAAGCCATGGTAGCAGAGCCCGGGGGGTTGTAGAATGACTCAGTGCCGATAATGTGTCCCAAACGTGTTGCGTGGCTCACGGTGTTGGTATAGATGAGTGCCAAGTTGGTAATGCAGTCATCCCGTTATCATCCAGAACCGGCTTTCACCGGGGTCATTCTAGCAGTGTCTCAACATGAGCGCCGAGCTGAGGGGAGGCCGCCTTCATGACAACCCGGCACGGCTAGTTGTCCACGTAGTACCATGTTGCCATAAGCGACCATGCTTGCATCTATTAGCCTATGAAAGACATTGTATCAGGGCAGAGCCTTGGAGTGGCGTTTGATACGATGTTCAGCAGCGCGCTCATCTGCTTGCTCATCGTGCATCAACGGCGACAGGGCCTGGAGCATGCGTCCGATCGCGTCTCAGGACTAACGGGGTACAAACCAAGACGGTTTGGTCCCTAATAGGCGTAATCACTGAGCTAAGCGGTAGGGATGGAACGGCATAGATGTTGTGCTAAGCGGCGGGGAATCTCCAGATCTATAAGAAAGCCAAAACCCGCCACACAACTTCATGCGTTTCTCTTCTTTCTCTATCATTCACAGCATTAACCCGAACTCGAAGATGACTGTCATTGACCTTACCAACGAAAGCGAGGACGAGGTCGGGGTCGAGATCGAGGTCGAGGGCGAGGAGCTTTCATACTTTTGCTCTTGGTGTTATGCAACCCTCCAAGAGAATATCTTGCTTTCTGGTTGTTCATGCGTTTGTTCCCCACGCCCGGAATCAAGGCTTGACTAAACACATGCTCAGGTCATTTGTCCGACATGCTGCAACAACTACCGAGAATACAACGGGACCGTCGAAGTGTACTGTTCTAAACAAAACCACTCGCGCCATGGAGGTCAGCAGGTCCGAAAGATCTACGAGTTGGCCTGCGCCATTTGCCAAGAAGATAGCCTACACAAGCCTCTACAAGCCATTTCGTGCGGTAAGTCTAATCCCGTTACTCGACACCAAGGTTCTGCAGGCTTACTTGGTTCCAAGGTCACGTATTTCACAACGAATGTCTTCAACCCCTTGGGCCAGAACTCGCAAAGATGTGTCCTTACAGATGTGGTAAAGGAAAAAGTTGCCTTGTGGCTCCTACCAGTCGGTTGGAGAATCATGAAGGCCGTATAAAAAGAAGAAAGTTCTTAACAAGCGAGTATCATAATCGGAGACTGATGAAGAAACGAAGAGAGGAACGGAGTAGGCATATCCAGAAGATATTGGATGACGAAGAGGAGGAATTGAAGGAGTGGAAAGCTCGGACCATGGCAACATTATGCGATCTAGAGCGGCGACTTGCTATTGCACAGGAATCTTTCTGCAAAGGCACGCTTGAAAACAGGACGTTTGCCACAAGTCTCCTATGACGATACGTGTATCCTAATTCATATATTGATAGTTGCTTCCAACCTTGATTTCTTTTCTGCAAGTAGCTGCGTAGAGTATTCTTGTTCTCTGACATAGTCTTAATAAAGGAATATCTACTGCTTATGTGCTGCATGTCTTCACCCGCTCCTGCTTGTACCGCTATAGCCCTAGTATCGGCGTTTAAGGAATTGGCCTTCGTCCGGCTTAACGCTTCCTTCTCTGCAGGTGCGCCAATACGGAGAGGAATTCCAATTCTGAAAGCGTCCTGCTGAGAGGTATGAAAAGCCGCATATAGGCTAAAGTCGTGAAAACTGCATTGCTTGATCTTGCGATGGAAGATCTTCGTAGTTTTCCTCGCCACCGACACGGCAGTTGATAAATTGCAAGCCACTGGCCGCCACGCCACCGACACTGTCTCGGGGAGAATACTTTGTTCACATTGTCTATAATCAAAATGCTGTGAGGAACCAGACCAAAGTAGGGCTTGCAGAGAAGGAGTAGTAAGCGAGTGGAAAGAGCAGGTGCTATAAGTTTCTGATGAGTTCACAGGGCGCGCTGATGCCTCAGCATGGCCGCCCACCAACGACGACAAATTTCGCGTTTTCGGTCTACTATATCCACTGCGGTTAGGCATCAAAATGCACTGGCGGAAAATTTCAACGAGAAGGTCTTATCTGCTTCTTAGTGGGGTCTGTAGTACTGCATAATACAATTCTGGCCAATGCTGCATGCTGTCCTTTATCAGATGGTTCGATAGGTAGTTGAGGTCCCTGATCGAACAATTGACAGAGTCAAACCTCAGACTCTGTCTACAATCGTTACCCCAGGCAACCCAACGGGCTGGCCTTTACCGTCATCCACACAGCTACAGCTGCCGTTACCATGAAAAGTGATCCGGATACTAGGCCGAGAAGAGCAGCATACTGCCAGGCATGTCCGGCTGTAAACCAAAAAACTAGGCCAATAACCAACTCGAATAACATAAAGTCGAGAAAGAAGATCGGCACCCATGCCATTGCTCGACGCATACGGGTGGGCTTGTGGCTGCTCTGGAACTCGAACGAAAGCATGATTGTGATCATTGCTGTAAAGACTGCCGTGATGACTGAGCTGACGAGGAGGCATGTTGAGACATTGTTCAAAACCGAGGCGGTTGTTTCCGATCTACCAAGCAACATAATCATGGTAGCGCTGCCAGAAACGGCAGATGCGAGGATGATGGTTGGGTACAGACTCTTCAGACGGTCACTCTCTGCAATCTCTGCGTCGAGTTAGCAATCAGACGGACTGGAAACACTCATAGTGGAGCACTTGCCATGGGATGAGACGTGGTTCTTGGTCTCTATTGGGGAAGTCATTACTCGGAAGGTTGCCGGTTTAGTTTGAAATTTAGAATGTGCACCCTAAGATAAGGAGCATCTGAGGAAAGATGATGAACCTCATGACTACACGTATGCGCCGATTGCGCAACCTTATTTAACTACTGCTTTGTACTGTTGATAATCCACCATCATGGTGCTCGTCCATTTCTTGCTCTTTGGCCGCTTCAAGATAATATGTACGACAATATCTGTGGCCTGTAGATGGGGCCGCTTTTACGTACAGCCAAATGTAGCTGCTCTTTCTCAAGATTTGGATATGTGGGTCAAAAATGGATGTTCCAAGCCAGGGGCAAGCAGGGAGCAGACCTCCAAAGAAACATCAGAGAACAGACTAGAGGAACCCAACTTGCGCCTACACGAGGTGGGAGCGCCTGCCTCACATCGACAACTAAAGCACGGAAATCCGCAACGAGAAGGCAGATAAGGTGGAGTAAGCAGGAAAAGGAGACATCACTTGTAATCAGCTTAAATTGCCCTTCCGACATCGTCGCTGGGCGTAATCAAAAATTTCTGTGTGTCTCTGTGTGTGTGTGTGTGCGGTCCGGGAACGAATCACCCGGCACATGCGGCGTGTGCCCAGCTCGCTTCCTGTCCGATGTTTTCCCAGATGGGTTTACATCAATCCACATAAATTGAATGTACTCTCAATACAAACGGCCGGCAGGCGTGCGCCTGGTTCGGCCACGAAGGATTTCCCAATAATGCGCGATGAATGTTAACCAGGCGAATCGCCACTGCAGATGCTGTAGCTCGAACACAGCCAAAGAGCCGATCGTATCTTCGCCGAGACAACGAACTGGGTTATGGAATGCCATGCAAGACTCGGAGACGAGGAAGGCTCACCGCTCACTGCCAATGTTGCCGGCCTAGAGCTCGGGATACCGATGCCTTAGAAGTTTACAAGTTGCACTCGCCAGGAGTAACACTCACGCTCCGATTGGCGGTCACGAAGTAGCCGGTGACTTCGCGTTATATCTCAAAAACTTGCCCAAATGGCCACTTCTGCCGTGAAGTCAGGTTCCGCGGAGCCTGTCTGCCAATCGCCTCCTAATGAGCACTCGAGAGATTAAGGTTGCAATCATGCATCAGTGGTTCGCGCTGGCTTGGCACTGGCCAACGCATGGGAGCAATGAGTTTCGCACGTGGTGTCGGAAAACGCTCAGTATACAGAACACCTAGCGGCGCTCTCACAGCCAACAGGATGGGTTGAACAACATCACGTCCATCGACCACGCCCTCCAGGCCGTCACTTCAGCTGACCATGGTCCGCCACCCTGGCCTCACCGTGGCATGAACGGCGAAGATGTGTGGCGATGATCCATAATTAGCGGCGCCCCCAGGTCGCCGCAGCGGTATCAACTTCCCATGTGTTGAATGTCCGGTCCTTTGTCAACGGACTCGGGCGAAGTTATGAGCCCCGTCCTGGCCCTCGGGAGAGCCTCCGTGGCGGCCATGTTCGCTGTCCGCGGCACGCGGCACGCATGGGCATGCTGTCGCGGGTGTCTCAAGGTAATTACGAAGTCCGCATTTGACGCGGCGGTAATTAACACTGGCGACCATGTCTGGTAAGCCATGGTCGCAGGTGTACGTACTTGCTGGAAGATTTGAAACATTCTCTGTCGCTTGCCGCTGTCACCCTCGTCGTCCCCTTGTAGTCGTTGCTCAATTAAGTCAGTTGAGAATGTCAACATCCTCTCGCTCTGACACCAAGTCAACGTTGGACCAGCGAAGGCGGTTGCTGTATATATGGACTGCTCCTCTTTGCTTAGTGGCTACTTGTTTTCCTACCAACTCATAGTCGCGGTGGGTTTCTGCCACCACAAGCCGGCCTCGCATTTCGGTTTCCTCGACTCTGAACCGTTGCTCGGACTTCCCTGACTGCTTTGACACCTAGCCGGATTTGGCGGACATGCCCGATCTCAAACTCTCCCTGCCGTCTTGCAAGTCGAATCTGCTTGGACACTTGCCAAAAGAAGCGGTGAATCTTTTTGGTGTTCTTTGCAATCCGAAAAACGGGCGCAACAGCAGCAGTTGGCGTCTTCTGGGTTTTCGTCTCTCGGCCAGGGGCTTCCTCGTTGCTTTCCGCTGTATTTTCCATCACCGCGTCGCCTCTCGTCTTCTCCACCTCCCCACTTTCCCAATCAGGCATGGTGGTGTTTGGCTGTTCTTCCTGCCGGCTGTCGTCGACTGGTCCAGAGGGATCAAAGCGACTGGTCGTCTCGGCTTCCATCTCAAACAGATCATGCATGCCAACCTCAAGGAACCCGATGAAGGAGTCCTCCTTGCCCGCGTTAGTCTGAGCCGCCGTGTCGGTGTCGACCACGGCGATGTCCTCCGTCATGTCGTCGCGGTTTTCGCTGAACGGCGCTGTTTCTGTGGGTATCTCATGTTGTGCTGGGTTCGTGTGATCTTCTTCCAAACGGGCGTCGCCTTGTTGGGTGTCCGACGCGATGCCGCAAATATCAGCGACACCATTGTCATTGGCCTCGATCTCATGAGGAGCATCCGAGTCTTCAGTCACGACTTCATTCGCTTCTGCGGCTTCGGCTGCGCTGGCAACGCTCTCTTCTGTTGCACTGTCTGTAAGCTGCCCCACTTTGTTGTCGCCTGCCTCCACCGTAGTTTGACTGGGCTTGGGGGTGGTCTCGCCCCGTCGACGGCGTGTGACCCGACGTTGGCCTCCAATTCCTTGCATGCCGTTGGCGAGTTCCGCTAGCTGGTCCAGACTTACGTCAGTTCAAACCGTCCGAACCCCAAAAGACTTCTCTGTTGCCAAGACTTACAAACCGGTTCACGTCAGGAATACTTTGGCCTTGCGGGACGTAGACAGCCCCGTCTAATTTTCCATAGGTTGGATTGAAATGGACGACGGCCGAAAAAACCTGGGCCCCCAGGCCCAGCTGCACGGCTTTGCGTTTCGCGCTTCCCCCGCATTTTCGGACCTTCTCTTTCGCCTTTTTGTCGTATGTGAAGACGATCTCGTCCGACGCCACAGGGGCCATGGCTTCGCGACTTTGAGAATTTCTGACAGAATCTAGCTACTGTACATACGAATGTGATCTAATCCATCACAGTGTCGGCCGAGACTACATGCCGTGATGTGACTACATCGCCCTCAAATATGACTTCTCTCGGGCGAAAGCCATTACGAGCCCTGTGGTACGGCGTGATGCGAGCCGGTTTGAGCTCTCATCACCGGTTTGTTTCCCTTGCAGCTCGTACGTCGCAGCGCTTCGTTGATGTTGAGCCGATTTTTGCTCTGCCAACCGCAAGCCAAACGGCTGAAAGCGGCTTCTCACTCGGTTTCCGATTCCTGCCTTCTGGAAATCACTTCACCGCAGCCGTTTGTCTTGCATGCTGAATTTCGCGTACCTTTTCAGC